TTCTGAAGCCATAGAATTGTTATTTCAATCACATTTTTAAAAATCAAATACTATTCTTTGGAGTGTAGAGTTAGTTCTTTCAGTAGCCAGGCATGGTAGCATGCACCTGTAATCCCAATGTGTCAGGAAGCTGAGGCAGGAGGATCACAAAATCAAGGCCAGCCTCCCAAATAAAAACTTTAAAACAACAACAACAACAAAAACTGGAGATGGAAAACACCACTGGGTTCAATTCCCAGTATGGGGGGAAAAATCTACCAATAAACTACAAGAGAGTTTTGAAAACAAAGCCCTTCTTAAGGAACACTGAGAATCTATAAGTTAATTCTAAACTATATGCTCTGATTAGGTCATCATATTTGAAATGATTAACAATTGTCAATACAGCAGTGTCATTAGAACAAGAATAATGATGATATTGAAATGTTTAGGGATGGATCTAGATTTTTTCAAGTCCTCTAAAACTGATAGATAAGAATTATACTCACTCCCTTTCTATTCTAGATTACTACTAACCACTGGATACAAGAACAACAAGCAGAATCCCCTCTATTTGTTTCATCTTATTTCTTGGAAATTGCTAAACCATGATTTGGCGGTGTTAGAACTTTGAGGACACATTTGAGAAATGTTATCTCATAAAAGTCATTATTTTAAATTTATTATTAAAATCCTATATTAAAAGGAAAATAAGACCCCAATTTGGGCTGGGGATGTGGCTCAAGCTGTAGCGCGCCCGCCTGGCATGCGTGCGGCCCGGGTTCGATCCTGAGCACCACATACAAACAAAGATGCTGTGTCCACTAAAAAATAAACCCTAAAATTCTCTCTCTCTCTTTCTCTCTCTCTCTCTCTCTCTCTCTCTCTCTCTCTCTCTTAAAAAAAAGACCCCAATTTGGTAAAATTATATTTTATACCATATTTTTGCCAAAATTAACTTTTTCCTTTTACTTAGGAGAGTAATATCATGCCCTTAACTGAATGATATTGTGTCAAAAGTCATCAACATATAATTATTTAATACAGATTTTATTAGTTAAAATAGTATTATAGCAATCTAAAATTTAAAAAGTAATAGCATCAGAGTTTTTAAAATTATGTAAGATGGAATATACGGAAACTCCTGAACTACAGTAAATCTTGATCAAGGCAGTTTTTTTTCTGTCTTCTTGCTTTACCTTTCACCAGTTTCCAAGGACAAAGATGTGCTTACTGCCACTCAAATTCTTCTAAAAATCCTATTACTATTTTAAATCCTTTAACCTAAAGCAGACATGGAATATTTTTTTTTAGACATGGAATATTTTAAAATATAATATTAAATATAATAATATAAATTAATAGTATTAATATCATTGCAAACCAAATATTCAATTTTAAATTGCTGATAACTGGGCATAGTTAACGATATTTTTATACATCTTTCTGTTCAGAGGCAACAAGCAGTGCAAGAACACATGCTCATGTCTCAATATTTTTTTTTATTTTTTTATTTTTTGTACCAGGGAATGAACCCAAGGGCCTTTACCACTGGGCCACATACCCCAGCCCTTTTTTTATATTTTATTTATAGAGAGGGTCTCACTGAGTTGCTTAGGACCTTGCTAAATTGCTGAGGCCAGCTTTGAACTCACGATTCTCCTGCCTCAGGCTCCCAAGCTGTTTGGATTATAGGAGTGGGCCACTGCAGCCAGCTTTTCAATATTTTTCTTCCAATTCATTCATTCCTTCCCCCAGCAGTAAACAATAACAAATATTTGTACAATAACCAATCTTTGTATTCAACTCAAATGTAGACAATAGGTTAAAAGACAATCTTTTTCTTAAACAGGCAACACAGTTGACTTGGTGTTTGTTCTTCATGTAATTCAGAGCCCAGAGAAATGTCTATTCTTAATATATGTTAATCCAATCAATGAATCAAGTTTGTCCTAAGTAACTTGATTATCTTTTTAGTAAAGGGATTTCTTGAAATTACAGAAAGTCTTTTCTAAAAATGGAATTTCTTTTTTCCCCCACCCCATTGTTAGATTAGCAAGAAACAAGTCAAGAGGAAGCTATTTCTGTCTCTTCAACATTTGAAACAAAAATTTTAGATTTTCTTTTTTTTTTTAACTTTTTTATTGTTGGTTGTTCAAAACATTACATAGTTCTTGATATATCATATTTCACACTTTGATTCAAGTGGGTTATGAACTCCCAGATTTTCTTAAATCTTGTGCATACTTATTGAGAATCATAGTTCTCCCAAATTAACAATCTGCTCTTGCAAATAAGAGATTCGTTTGAGTCTCTGCTTTTCTGGGAACTAAATAGCTATTGAAGTCGTCAGATAAGTTTTCATTTCTTAGTTCTGTAGGTATTTTTTTAAGCAAAGATTTTCTCATTTTTTTAGATGCAAAAATTATTTTTAAATAATTTCAGTAAGTCATGAAATTGCTTCTTTTGTCCAACAGTATTTACTCATGTTCATTTCCATTATTCTTTTTACTTATTAAATACATTCAAATTCTATATTCTTTTTTACCTTTATAGTTATGAAAATATTGTGGTATAAACTGGTTTTCCCCTGAGACACTTTGCTTAAAAGCCTGTTCTTATTCAAGTAGGAAAATCAAATTTGCCAAAACTTTGACCTCCAGTGATTCTGAATAGGGACTGTGGTAATTGAAACAATAAAATAATAGGAACAGTCCAAGTATTAGGATGAAGATAAAGGCAGAATTCTAGCTTACTATCTTGTAATTTGGAAACACACTGAAGACACCAAGTCCAGTATTGAAATGTAAATCAAATCAATTAAAAAAAAAAGGAGAAAAGAAGGAGGGGGAGGGGAAGCGGAAGGGAAAGGAGGAGGAGAAGAAATTCAAAGCACAAGCAGAATGATATCATGGCTTAAAACTGACTTTGAAATAGTATATCCACTGCTAATATATATTCCCTGACAAAATGTTCAGAAAAAACACAACTGGGGACTCCTTGAGGCATATATCAGTTTGCATAATAACTGTATTTTCCAAATATTTAACAGCTAATGATGCAAGTATGTTTGACGGTGAACTTAAAAAAATAAGGTTTGATATGAGGGTAGCAAGAAGTTTCACATGAATAAAAATGTCCAAGTGTGTGGTAGATTTTAGCTTCTCAAAAGTACTCCAGGCTCGGTTACTGGATGTTTTCATTTGCTGGGTGGCTAACCTCATTAAAACCTGTTAAGGTCGGGCGAGTGTCAGAGGAAGAGACCACCAAGAGACTGTCTCATGCAACAGCAGAGGGTTTATTGGGGGTCCAGCATGCTGGGGCTCAGAGCTCACTTCGTAGGAGCAGAGAGCCCCGAGTACAACTTAAGCAGAGTTTATATACATTCTTTGGAGAGGGCAGGGACTTCACATACATCATAACAAATCATCACACACCACGGGAAAATCAAACAACAACTCCAGAGCATGATTGGCTCATTCACTGGCGGGAACAAGTTGGGTAGGGGTGATTGGTCAGTACAAAATAGGGGTATACATTTGAACTGACTGGTTTAAGCCCTGAGGGGTGTACGTGCTGAGCTGCATGGTTTCTGGGAGGGGTTGTTTTTACAGAGCAACCAAATGGTCAGGAGAGATTTCTCAACATACATTCTTAACCTTTCAAACCTACTCGTTAGTTTGAAGAGAAGCTGTGGTGTTTAGCCAAGGGATTTGCCAATGTTATGCTCAAATTCGGGACCCCCAAAAGACCACCAAAGACCAAGATCGATGTAAGCAGCAAAGAGGTGTTTATTGCGAGCTAGCTCGGCCCTCCGTGTGCACACAGGAATTGGTGACACTGAGAGGCCCCAAGCCCAGGGTTTGCATCAGTTTTATACACTCTTTGGGGAAGGCAGGGACTTGACATACATCATAGCATCTCTTAGCAAATCATCACATACCGCGGGAAAATCAAATAACAACTCTAAAACATGATTAGCACATTCGCTGGTGGGAACAAGTTGGGTAGGGGTGATTGGTTACTATGAGAGGGGGATTCATTTGAACTGATTGGTTTAAGCCAAGAGGGGTGTTCATGCTGAACTACATGGTTTCCCAACACCATAAACTACTGGGAGGGTCATCTGGCATCCCAGGTATTTCCCTATCTCATGCTGATTGATGGCTGCTAGGGGATTGTTATGGGTCCCCACCTAGCCTGACTGAGTCAGGGACACCTGGCGCAGCAGATCTTTCCTGTTATTTGTAGATAAACAACTTAGCAAGGTGGGAATGTGCCTAGGAGTGCTCTGTGGGTCTTTCCTAGGACAAAGGTCATGTCCCTTCCTTGGACAGGCTTTGCTCTGAGGTAGAGGCTAGTTTTTCACCAAACCATACAGAAAAAATAACTTTGTTATAGTGAGTTAATTTCCATAACAGTGGAATGGTTGAGAGTAGGCTCCCAAGTCAAATAGTCTAGATTAAAATCTTTGCTCCAGCACTTTCTATGTGATGGTGGGCAAGTAACTTAAATTCCCTTTCAATTTCCTCAGTTGCAAAGTGACATTAAGGATTATCCCTACCATATATGGTTATGTGAGAATTAAATGAGTTTTAACTCATAAAATAGTTGGAAAAGCACCTAGCACATAGTAAATATCTGAACTAAGTATGTAATGATTATTAACTAAATGTTTATTATATAAAATATTAGAGCATAATTATATATAATTTAATAACAATAATTTTTAAAAAGTCAGTTACTGACAATGTTCATCAAGCATAAAGAACTAAAATGAAGGTATATTGAAAAAAAAAACATGAATTTTCCAGACATCTTTAGCAAAACAAATGTTAGATAATGCCATATCACTTTAATTACTTGCAGTTGACCTACAGTGGAACCTGGCAGCAGGGACCTATAAATACATATACATACACACATTTATTTTTATATTTATGTATAAATGCATGTATATTCTGGCATTCATCTGCATTTTTGCTTCTTTGTTTGTTCTGTAGATTATATAAAGACCAATCCCTAAAATGGAAGAAGGCAAAAGCCAAAGTTTTGAGGAAGATTTTGAAGGACAGGCCACACATACAGGTAAGTAAAGCTAGAAAGAAAAATAATTATTAAATTAAGATTAAATCTACAATCGATCAACAAATATATGAAAAATGTTCAACATCTCTAGCAATTAGAGATATGCAAATAAAAAATACTCTAAGATTTCATCTCACTCTAGTCAGAATGGCAATTATCAAGAATTCAAGCAACAATAGTGCTGGTGAGGAGGTGGGGAAAAGGTACACTGATTCATTACTGATGGAATTGCAAAATGGTGCAACCACTTTGGAAAGCAATATGGAGATTCCTTAGAAAACTTGGAAAGGAACCACCATTTGACCCAGCTATCTCATTCCTCCGTCTATACCCAAAGGACTTAAAATCAGCATACTGCAGTGATATAACAATGTCAATGTTTATAGCGGCTCAATGCATAATAGCTAAACTGTGAAACCAACCCCAATGCTCTTCCATAGATGAATGGATAAAGAAATTGTGTGTGTGTGTGTGTGTGTACATATATATACACAATGGAATATTACTCAGCCTTAAAGAAGAATGAAATTATGGCATTTACAAGTAAATGGATGAAGTCAGAGAATATCATGCTAAGCAAAGTAAGCCAATCTCAAAAAACTAAAGGCCAAATGTTTTCTGATAAGTGGATGCTGATCCATAATGGGGAGAGGGTGCAAAGGAAGACTGGAGGAACTTTGGATTGGTCAAAGGGGAGGGAAGGGAGGGGAGGAGGTATGGTGGTGAAAGATGGTGGAATGAGATGGACATTATTACCCTATATACCGGTATGGTTGCACAAATTGTATGACTCTACATCATGTACAACCAGAGAAATGAAAAGTTGTGCTCCATTTGTGTGAAAAATAAAATAAGATTTTAAAAAACTACAAATATGTAATGTTCTTGTCAATAATATTCATCATGGAATTTGAGTAATATCTTCATATGGTAATACAGAAAAATTTAAAAATACTCCATAAATTAAGTCCATAAATTAACTTGAAATGAAATAAAACAGTTTTATTTTAATGTCAAAGAACGAGAAAAACACTACTGATAATTTCTTTTTTGTTTGTTTTTAAGAAAAATGTTATTTCAATTAAAATTTAATACAATTATTCATCCAATTACAATGTGCTCTTCTAAGGAATATAAAGAAAGACTGCAGCAACATTGCAGCAGGGAAAACAATGGTCATTGCATTACCAAGTTTCTCTGTTTTCCACACTTCTGGGCATTGTCATTAAATTACTGATAATTTCTTTCCTCTTTTTTTTTTTTTTTAATAATTTTTAGTTGAACCAATGTGATCCTGCAATCTGTACACGTGGAAAAATAAGATTAAGATTAGGTACCCCATTTGAATCAAATGTATGATATGTCAAGATCATTGTTATGTTTTGAGCAACTAATAAAAAAATAAATAAAAAATAGCACAATAAAATAAATAAATAATTTTTTTTAAAAAGAGGCAATATATATAATCTAAGATACTCATATAAATGCATTAGGTGGATTTCAAATGACAAATATTTCAGATCTACTTGGTCTTTAGAAAACACTAATTATGAGTGGTGATTTGCACACTCCATCTTTTAATTATTTTATTTTTTTAAATTTTTTTTAAAGAGAATTTTTTTAATATTTATTTTTTAGTTTTTGGTGGATACAACATCTTTATTTTATGTGGTGCTGAGGATCGAACCCAGCGCCCCGTGCATGTCAGGCAAGCGCGCTACCGTTTGAGCCACATCCCCAGCCCTTTTTAATTATTTTATTTGTGAGGTCAAATCTTACTGATTCATGGAACAGTAAATTTGCCAAATGTATTCAAAGAATGAAAAACAGCTTTAGTAGAGGGCACTTATAATCTTCACAAGATATTTTAATGCTATTGAGAATTTACTGTCTGTTGATAGAAATTAGCAAAACAAAATCCACCTTGTGGTACTTCACTAATAAATGAAGATTATTAAAATGTTGTATACTTTTATTCCTATGTTTAAAATATAACCTGAAATTATATTCTTCTTCTGGCATCTTTGATAATAAAAAAAAACAGTATTATCAAAAAAAATAATTTTTAGTTGTTGATAGACCTTTATTTATTTATTTATTTTTTTAATTTATATACGGGGCTGAGAATCAAACCCAGTGCCTCACACATGCCAAGCAAATGTGCTACCACTGAGCCCCAGCCCCAGTGCCAAATTACTGATAATTTCTTGCTGCCCAATTTTCTTGCTCTCTATCCACAATATAACTAACTGATTTTCATTGCTCAACTCTCCTCCAACCTGTCCCCACTACAATCTTTTAAATGGTGTATAACTATCTATATGCCACTACAAAGAGCTTAAAAGTTAAATGCCATTAAATTTTAAAAATCAAATTTCTTTTAACTCTATTGAATCTGATTTGACTAGTAGTTTCCTGTATCTTTTTAATATGGATTTAGAACCTTTAAATTTAGCTAAAAGTTTGAATTCACACTAGTACTAGGCAAAATATGTGGCAATTCATTTTTTAAAGGTCATGTAAGCAATAGTTCTCTAAGTACAACATAAAAAAATGATAAATTCAGAAGAAGGAAAAACAAAGGAAATAATAATTGGAGCAAAAATTTTTAAAAAACTAACAAATTAGGAAAAAAAATTACAAATCAATAGGCAAACAAAAGATTAACTTCTTAATATGTATTAAGACCTCTTACAAATTAATAAGAAAAAGATGATCAACCAAATGGGACAAGGGACAAAAGATTGGATGGGAAGCAAAAACAAACCAAAAAAAAAACACACTTATAAATTTAGAACTTTGGTGAGATGCATTTTTTTTTCACACAACTAGAAAAAGTAAAAAACTTAATAACACTTTTTGGAATAAGACAACTTCATACATTGCTGAGAATAGTTTAAGTTGGTACAATCTTTGTAAGGGCAGTCTAGTAAAAGCAAAATCTGAAATGTATAATGTCCTTTGACCAAACAGTTTTACTTCTACAACGATAGATATACCTGCATAGATATATATAAAAAAAAATATGTGCAGAGTTCTTCACACAGCATCATGTCATAGAAAAAACTGTGGAAATAATAATGCATATCAACAAGAAACTGTCCAAGTAAATTATATGTATCTCTAGAATAGAATACCATACCTCCATTTAAAAAAAAAAGAGCCTTGTTATGTGTGTAGATGAAAGAAATCTCAAAGACATATTATGAACTGAAAACATTAAGTAAGGAAAAGTATGTGTAATACATATAAATTGTGTATATAATGTGTGCATATAATATCTTACCATTTGTGGCAAACAGGAGAAAAAAGATTCTCCACACAAAACCACACATATAAAATGTTTTGTATCTGCATAAAATGTCTGGAAGATCAAGACTATACAAGAAAATTTAAAAAACATTGATTGCCTGAATATACTTGCATATAGAACATAACATTAAAGGCATAGAAAGATTAAGCTTGAGTGAAGGATATTCAGTTTATTTATTCATGTTTTCAAGAATTTATGACCTTGTAAGCACTGATACCCACCCCGCCCCACCCAGTACTGTTACTTTTCAGGGCAACTGAATATCAGAATTCCAGTTGGATCATCCTTGATTTAATTAACTTTTCTTAAATCTGCAGATTCCATCTCTCCTGTATCTGTAGAAGATTCTTAAGACTCTTAGAAGAAATTGGGTGATTATGTAATGACTTTCTCTAAAGCATCTTAGTTTTGCTAATTGAGGTCAGGCCTCCTTCTCACTGGTTGTCTTTAGTCATTCTTGTTATCTATCCTTTCCCCAATAATCACAGACCTGGTTTCCTTTATTAATAGTGTAATACCAATGTTACTTTATTGCTAAAGCTTCTTTCTTATATAATGAAAGTGCTATTTTTAAAAAATTCTCCTTTCCACCATATATTCTAATTTTTAAAAATTTCTATCCCATTCTTTTTGCCAATAGCTCAAAGTGCGTAATTTATATTTTCATTAGAGCAGATTATTTTACAAAGATTCTTTGCCAATATCCAATTAACAAGATTAATCTGAAAGAACACTTTTATGAGCAAGGCAGTAGGAATTTCTAGGCCAAAGAAAATGTTTTTTTCCTGACGCAGGAGATAAGAAGTCTGTTCCCACGGCAATATGTACACAAATTTCAATTATGCAGATAGTTCTTTTCAAAATGCAGATGGGATTTTTTTTTATTCCAGGTCCCAAAGGAGTAATAAATGATTGGAGAAAGTTTAAATTAAGGAGTGAAGAGAGTGAATCCATCCCACCTAGCAAGAAGGAGATTCTCAGGCAAATGTCTTCTCCTCAGAGCAGAAATGACTCAAAAGAAAGATTCAGCAGAAAGGTAAGATAAGTAAAAAATATTTATTAAAGATTTACAATGTGCTAAGTCACTCTAAATAATTACTTCAGAACACTATGAAACATATTCATTAGAATATTGTTTATACTGGCAAAAATGGAAATTAAGTTAATCTCTATCAAAGCATTCCATACTAACAAATGTATACAGCTATTAAAAGAATGAGTTACAAATACATGAATTGATTTCGGGGAAGTTTCACAATATGAGAAGCTAAGTGCACAGAGTTTTAAATTATATGAATAATTCTATTCTAAAGAAGAAAGAAACACACATTGTAATTTTTTATGTTTTTATTAGTACATTATAATAAATATATGTTTGTTTGTAGTCCCATCAACAAGGCATGAGTCGTAAATATGTCCCTTATTTAAAACATCCTATGTTTTTTGTTTGTTTTGTGGTACTGGAGATTAATATTGAAGTTCATTTTGACATAATCATACATCTATGGAATATAATTTGTTCCACTTCAGTACCCGGTACTTCCTCTTTCCTTTACTTCCTCCCCCTATTCCTCTTCCTTTATTATATTGGTCTTCCTTCTATTTTTTTTACAGTTTTTTTTTAAATTAGTGCTTTATAGAGATACATAAAGGTGAAATTATTGTGGTATATTCATTTATGCACATAGCACAATCTGGTCAATTTCATTCCTCCATTCCTCCCTTTTCCAGTTGCTCCACCCTCTCCCTCAATCCCCTTTCTTTGTTCCACTGATTTCCCTTCTATTCTCATGGAATCCCCAACTCCTGCTTTTGTTCCTTATTTTGGTCTAACTTCGAATTATCAGAGAAAACATTTGACCCTTGACTTTCCAAGTCAGGCTTATTTCACTTAACATGATGTTCTCCAGTTCCATCCATTTACCAGCAAATGCTGTAATTTCATCCTTCTTTCTGGCTGAATAAAATTCTGTTGTTTATATATACCACATTTTCTTAATCCATTCATCTGTTGATGAACATCTGGGCTGGTTCCAGTGAATTACACTGCTATAAACACTGATGTGCATGTATCACTATAGTATGCTGATTTTAGTTCTTTAGGATAAATACCAAGAAGTTCGATTGCTGAATCATATGGTGGTTCCATTTCTGATCTTTTGAGGAATCTCCATTTTTGCTTTCCAAAGTGGTTGTACCTTGTTTGTAGTCCCATCAACAAGGCATGAGTCGTAAATATGTCCCTTATTTAAAACATCCTATGTTTTTTGTTTGTTTTGTGGTACTGGAGATTAAACCCAGGGCACTCTACCACTGAGCTATATCCCCAGTCCATTTTTAATTTAAATTTTGAGACAGGATCTCACTAAGTTGCTAAGGCTGATCTTGAACTTGTGATCCTCCTGCCTCCCAAGTAGTTTGAATTGTAGGAATGTGCCACTAAGCCCAGATCTGTATGTTTTTAATGCTTATGTGATTATAAGCATATGAGTTTGTGTAGAAAATTACAGAGACATTCACCAAGTTGACAATATTGATAATTTGAAAGAATGAGATTGGGGAAAAAGGAGGAGGAAAAATAAATCTCAAAAACAACAACAAGGGGGGTGGGGTTGTGGCTCAGAAGTTGAGTGCTTGCCTAGCACATGTGAGGCCCTGGGTTCAATCCTCAGCACCACATAAAAATAAAAAACTAAAATAAATGTATTGTGTCCAACTACAACTAAAAAATAAATATTAAAACAGCAATAACAACAACAAAGCCTATATATTTACACCTCTGCTAAAAAGTTGTATTTTTAAAAGATTTCCCATATTTAGTTTATGTAATGTATATGTTTTTGTCAAAAAGAGATATATTAAAATGTTAATGGGGATTATCTGAGTAGTAAAGTAGTAAAATTTCAGTATTTTTTGTTTGTTTTTTAAGCCTTGTTTTTATCTTCATAATTAGAATGCATTATTTAAATAACAATGATTGTGAAAAAGAAACCATAAGTCACTTTCATTTGTGGGGAAAAATCACAATAGTGAATTATTTATCTCTAAACCAGTGCGTATGAGTTGTATACTGAGAGTCAACAGACAACTACAGTCAGAAATAAGCCTTGGTCTAAGGCTTCTGGCAACAGAGATGATCTTCAAGTCAAATATTTTTGGGGAGTGGGGGCAGAGGATGGTTCTTTATTGAGTCACTATGCTGTGGATGAGACAAATTTTCCCATCTGAATTACTGCAAGAATACCTACTCTTCTTTGGAACAGATGTAGAGAGAAAACAAGTATGAAAGTATTTTAAAACATAAAAAACTATCCAAATGTGTTATGTAAAAATCTTGTGTCTAGGCTAGGTTTTGGAAATGTACCTTAATGCCTAAATATCTGTACACCTGAATAAGTAAATAGAACAAGTTCTCATATGAATGCTCAAATTCATCTTGAAATCAATATTTGTGTGGTTAGTCTATTAAATTATCAGAACTCCGGTAGCAACTTAAGAATTATGCAAAATATCCATTAATTTTAGAGCTAAAACAAATCAAATTGAGACAATACTGTTAAGAGAGAAAATGTAATAGGATAAGAAAAAGAAAGAAGACATTAAGAAAACAAATATAAGAGGGAGAAACAAGAGAAAGAAGGAATAAAAGCATAAGATATTTCTCCTTAACTTGAATCTCAGTATATTCGTAGTCACAATGACACTAATAATGCTTATCTCAGAGGTTTGTTGTGTGGATTAAATAATATAATCCACGGAAAATGCCTAAGACATGGTAGATATACCATAAACATTAGTTTTTTGCCATCTTAATTTTCCTACACTTTATTGTTTTCCCAAAGATGGAAATGTGCTTATAAATATGCTTTATAAAATTGGCCTTTGGTTTCCAAAGCCAATTTTATACATTACCTGTTTCGGAGGAGTTAATTTCTCTCCTTTAAAAATTGACTGTCATCCCAGAGACTCAGGAGCTGAGACAGGAGGATCCCAAGTTTCAGGCCAGCCTCAGCAACTTAGCAAGGCCCTAAGCAATTTAGAGAAACTGTCTCAAAAAAAATTAAAATAATAATTAATAAGGTCTGGGGATGTAACTCAATGGTAAAGCACCCCTCAGTTCAATCCCCAGTACTTAAAAAAATTGACAGCAGTTGCTTTTTGAGCAGTTATATGATGATAAGGCAGTAGACGCTGATCCTTCTTGGGTGCTATCCAACTTCCATGACTCGGGGGTTCTCCACATTTATTAGTGTCCCATACAACATTATGTCCCATTGCTCCTTTATACTTTCTTTTGGTTTGGTTTGGTTTGGTAAGGGGTGCTTGACATTTTTCTAAATACATTAATAACAGAGAAGATATCATGAAAGACTATGCAGGTAATTTTAAATCCTAGCTGCAGTGAAAAGAAGCTGTCTTGAAAGAAGAAATTTAGGTCTTTTCTCATTTTAGCCTAAACCAGTGGATAAGAATAACCTAGAGGGCTTGTTAAAACATGGATGAGCCTCACCCTTACAGGTTCTGATTCAGTAGATCTGGGTGGTGCCCCAAAATGTACATTCCAAGAAGTTCCCAAGTGATGCTGAGGTTGCTGGTCCAGCAGTTGGCATTCTTGTTAAATCTTATGAATTCTAAGTAACTCTAATTCTGTCTTGTTTGAATTCCATTCTACATATTCTAAAAGTCCAGTAAATTATAAGACTTTAACAACTTTTGTGGAGGGAACATATAGAGGCATTTGTTAGAGACACATTTAAGTGTGTGTGTGTGTGTGTGTTTAGTGGTTTGTTGTTGTTGTTTTGTTGCTTATTTGATAAAAGACCTTGCTGGATTTTTTTTTCACCCAAAGTGGTGAGTAGTTAAGTGTCATATTTCTGACTGAGACTGTGAGCTTCTTGTGGCTCAACTGCATTCAGCAATAATTATATATGGATTTAAGAATGAAATAATTATTGAACTCTTACTGTGTACCAAACATTATCTTAGATGTTGAAGATACATTAAGACAAATAAAATTCCTTCTCTTGTTAAACATAGTTAGAAAAACTGATATTAATCAAATATATAATATAAGCTTGGTTAGTATTTATTGCTATAATAAACAGTATAAAGAACTAAGAGTAGATCAGGGACCCTTTTAAGTAATCAAGGAAGGTGACTTTTGAATAAATTCTCAAATGAGGTAAAGGCCATATCAGGAGTGGGGAGGAAGTGATCTAGGCAGAGAGAATAGCAAATACAAACTCCTAGAGTGGAGAATGGGTGTGGTATGCCTAAGGAATACACATTTCTGGCTGAATGATCTCTATCATTTCTTTCATCTGTTCTCAGATGAGCATTCAAGAATATGAACTAATCCATCAAGACAAAGAGGATGAAAACTGCCTACGTAAATACAGAAGACAGTGCATGCAGGATATGCATCAGAAGCTGAGTTTTGGGCCTAGATACGGGTTTGTATATGAGCTGGAAACTGGGGAGCAATTCCTGGAAACAATTGAAAAGGAGCAAAAGATCACCACAATTGTTGTTCACATTTATGAAGATGGCATTAAGGGCTGTGATGCTCTAAACAATAGTTTTACATACCTTGCAGCAGAATACCCTATGGTCAAATTTTGTAAAATAAAAGCTTCTAATACAGGTGCTAGGGACCGCTTTTCCTCAGAGGTACTCCCCACACTACTTGTTTACAAAGGTGGGGAACTCATAAGCAACTTTATTAGTATTGCTGAACAGTTTGCTGAAGAATTTTTTGCTGGAGATGTGGAGTCTTTCCTGAATGAATATGGGTTGCTACCTGAAAGAGAGATACAAGCCTTAGAGCAGACCAACATGGAGGAAGAAGATATGGAATAAAGTTCACTGTGTTAGCTGGGTGTGGTGGTGCACACCTATAATCCCAGAGGTTTGGGAGGCTGAGGCAGGAGGACTGTGAGTTTGAAGCCAGCCCCATAAACTTAGTGAGGCCCTAAGCAATTTAGCAAGACCCTGTCTCTAAATAAAATATAAAAATGGGCTGGGGATGTGGCTCAGTGGTTAAGCACCCTGGGTTCACTTCTGGGTACCAAAAAAAAAAAGACTCACAGTGTCAATATCTCATATTTATTCTTTATATACTTAACATTGATTTTGGTAGTATCCATATTCCTTTAGAGAACACCAAATATGGTCATGATTATTGTAATTTGCAAAAAAAGATTAAAAATTTCAGTGTTAATATTAATGTTAGTTATTCAAATTGATACAGTGCTTTACAACAAAAACATTGTAGTCCTTAGCAACACTGTTTAGTAAACAAAGAGGCTGTGGATAATATTATGTCATTTTCTAAAACTCTCTTTCAAGTTATGTGTTAGCTTTTTTATTCTTTGTTTTTTCCTCAGTGTTATTTTTATTTGTGCTTTTCAAACTAATTTTCAAATTAATTACAATTTTCCTTGCATAATAAGAATAAAATATCACATGGAAATGAATTTTCAGTATTTATTCTTTCTCAAGTATTACATTATCAAAGTTCTAAATATTTTGTAAAGACAAAAACGTTTTCATTCAATAAAGTATCTTATATTCCAATCAAACCAAAACATAAGAAATTTTGAAATATTGTGCAATATTAATGTTGTGAAAAGAAAAGTTGCATTTGTTAAAAGGATACAAGAAATGTTTGCTTATTCTCTGGATGAGAAAAATATATATAGTAGTAATAATAACTTCAGTTATCATCTATTGATAACCAATTATTTTATACATTTTTATCTCTAATTAGTAACCACAAATTTACATGTAGTCTTATCCTTATTTTTAAACAATGAAGCTAAGATTCAGAGAAATAAAGTGGAAGTTCTACTTTTATTTCCCTTGAAAATATTTGATATTTCATCTTCCCACATGAATATATGGAAGCAAAAAACAAAAGATCTTTTATAATGTTTTTAAATATATTAAAGAGCAAGATAAAAGAAATTTCTAGGTGTCTGAATCAGAGTGGGAAATTAATGGTGAGTAAAGCTGAAGCAATATGGCTTTCTATTGAAGACATGGTGCTTGATAAGTACCCAGAAATGGGCTCCCTGTGAGAGATGTGTTTAAACAGGTTTTCACATTTCTCCCTGGTAGCCCAGTGTTGAAACTATAAATGTGACACAAGTTTTAGTCTCCACACTCTTGAATGACTACTGCATAGTTTCTCTTCTGATACTTTTTGCACCTCTTTCTCCAACTCCACATTTTCCACATTTCATTGATCAAAAAGTTGCTTTCACTTGAGACCTACTTCATCTTTCCATCATCAGAACTAAAATGTGTACCTATATGTAAAGTCTTTCTGCTGACATTATGATGGAAGAAAGGTCCATGCAGCTACCAAACTCACCCCATGCTGTAGATTCTATCCTTCTCATCTACACAGTAATTTTTCTCTTGCAATTATTACCCTCCTTTGCATTGTCCGTTTCTCTCTTTATAGATGTTGTATTACTCATATTGGCTTATAAATTTTAACCTTGCACACTATCTAAAATATGCCTATCTATAATTTAAAATTTCCAACTACCATTCAGTTTCTGATTTTCTTTACACTTGTGTCTCTCAACAGAGGTATCTAAAGTCGCCACCTTTATTCTTCATTTTCAATTATTTTTAAACTGTACTCCAATCAGGTCTTTGTCTCAAGCACTTTAATTACAGTTGCAGTTGTACTATCAAACTTAATGGTCAATTCTTACTCCTTATTTTATTCTGTCTCCTGTAAGCATATGTCAAAATTGACTGTCTCCATCCTTATTGAGTCATTTCTGGCTCTGACAACACACTGCTCATTTGCTTACTATCCTACTGATTATTCCATCCAAGTCTTTCACTGACTTCTTCTCTAAATCTTTGCTCTAGGTAATCTCCTCAAATGTGTAATCCCAACCACCATTTAAATTCAATAGTCCCCAAATCACACCTTTGGCTTTACCTCTCTACTAGACTTCAAATTCTTATATATCACCTAGACAAAGTGGGGAAAGAAGGAAAAGAAGAGGTAAAGAAAAAGAACCTTTGCAATTGTACTAGATATCAGTAATATAGAGATGAATAAGATAGAATTCTTTACTATGATGAGCTCATGCTGACTAGTCCCCAATACATTATTGTTCGTGAACCTAAAATTCTTTATCCCTTTTATAAATTGGGAAAGGCATTTTAAATAGCCAATTGCCTATTTCTAAGTTGATGAGCAACAGGCATATCACATGAAGGAAAACCACCAGGAGGGAGACATGCAGAATAATTATGTACAAAATGAGGAGTTTTTAAAAATAGTTCAAAATGCTTTCTCTCATCAAGTAATGACTAGCAAATGTAATAATCCCCTACTGAGTTCTCTGCTAAGGAATTACTGGACTTAAAAAGTATAGCAAAAAAACAGGGTCCTTGCATGAGATATTTATAATTCAAAGCTCCTTAGTAGAACAGCTCTTTAGATTGACGTTAATTCCATGCACTGGAAGTAAGTACATAAATGATGGTGGCAAGGCAGTGAGGAATGATAGTCAAATGTCTCAAAAGAGAACAATATTTTAAGAATAAAATATAAGGTTTTTTTCAATCATTAATTATTGTTAACTGAAGTGTAATAGAGTTTTATAGGTCAAGGGCAGTAAAAACTCCTTTTAAAAGAAAGTGAAACTTTCCTTTGAAAGAAAAGTCTCATTTACAGAAGAAAAAGAATAAAAATGGCTTTGAAAGACTCCTGTTCAGAGAAAGCTTTACTCTTTTAAGAAATTCCCCACCACACTTTAATTTAGAATATGGAGCTAGCAAGCTTAAGCAGGACTAAGCCCAGGAATGTAGTTAACCCATAACTGCAAAAACAAAAGTAACTAGGTGGCACCTGTGTAGAGAGTGAGTGATGCTAGCAACCATTCTCCAAATAAGCACTCGGTGACTAATGGCTGCCACAGTGAAGCTTTGATCATAACACTCATCGGGAAGAATCACACAAAAGGCAGGATTTGACTGGAATTATTTGAAGTCCGATGCTGCAGAAATCCTGGATTACAAACTCCCCTCATGTAAACACTTAATCTGCTACTTCATTTGGTAGGAGGAGAGGAAGAGATCAGCAAAAGAATGAAGTTTAAAATGTAAAGGCTTAAAATGCCATAACACGTCTCATAACAAACCACTCAAATAATAACTAGAATAGACTTGAAAGAAAGCTGAGAGTGTTAGTTTAAAGCAATAGGAAAATTTGTAGGGAATAGCAAAATTATCTTATAAATTGAGAATCTCATTCACTCATGGCTTACAAAATAATTATATTGATAATCTGCAACGTGTCATGCAGTGTCCTTGAAAACAAAGATTTATACAGGGAATGAATGGATAAATGCATCTACATTTGGATCTGTATACTGTGGTGAATATTTTAAGTAGCAATATCAGACTTCCTATGTTTCAATCCATTCACTAATTTTGTGACTTTGGGCAAATTAGTTAACCTTTCTGTACCTGTTTTTATATCTGTAAGATAAGGATAGTAACAGCATGCACATCCTCCTTGGGTTGGTTTTTGTGTGTGTGAGAGAAAAAAATAAATCATCTAAATTATTTAGAACAATACCTGACACACCAGTATTACTCAAATGTTAGTTGGTATTATTAATAAATATACATAAAGTAAAACCACACATATAGGCATAGATATAAGATATTAAACCTGCTTATGTAAAAAGAAACTAATTGATGAAGAAGTCAGAATGCAATTCATTTATACCAAACATGTTTCTCACATTCTTCCAGATAAGGAATTTATTAAATATTTTATATATAATATTTGAATTGAAAGAGTAAGGGGCTTTGAAACTGAGACAAATGAATAGTACCCAACACAATCACCTAGCCACCAAACACCTTACACTCTACAGTCCACCTTATGTAATTTTGGGCCTTTAGATTGCTAGTGACCACTCGCAAATGGAAAATTCCTTCCTCACCTGGCTTTCGGAATACCACTTTCCAGATCCTTCTCTGCTTCTATGACCATTCTTTCTCAGTCTTATCTCTTGGCCTATTTTGTTTTTTTTTTTTTTCTTTCATGGTGCTGGGGATTGAACTCAGGGCCTTGTGACTGCTAAGCATGCACTCTACCAACTAAGCTATATCCCCAGCTCCTTGGCCTTTCTTAAAATGGCCCTTGGATATTAGTAGGATGGCGCCAGGTACTACCTATACCATGATTTCTGAAAGTCACTCTTCTTGACACCTCTGGTCAGGCAGTTCTTTATTGTGGAGGTCTGTGCTATGCACTGTAGGATGTTTAGCTCCATCCCCAGCCTCTGCCCACTGGATGCCAATAGCACTCCTCCCCTAGTTGTGAAAACTAAAACTATGTTTGGACATCGCCAAGTGTTCTCCAGAGAGCAAAAAATCACCCCCAGTCAAGAATCACTTACATCCTTTTACAAAATATATATCTTCTGGCTGCTGCATTCCATGTCAATGGAAATTCAATTATTAGCATTTTTTGCTTGAACCACTGCAATCATTTTGTAACTGGGTGGGCTTCACAACTCACAGTCTTCATGAGGATACCAGACTGACCCTTAAAGGACTGTCAGTGCATGGGGAAACCCCAAGGCTGTAGTCCATACACTGCTGAAAATTTTGGGGGGATCATCTGTGTGACAAACAAGAAGTGGAATTTTAAGAATTTTTAATTTTCATTCTGAAACATTTGGGAATATAGATACTCTTTTTTGATGTCCTGTAGTTTGTGGATATGCAGTAACCATGTACAGAAATATTATATTTCCCATTATTAGGGAAACTTATTCTTTCAAAAGAGCATAAACTCATCAGGCATAGTAGTGTACACCTGTAATTCCAGTGAATTGGAAGGTTGAGGCAGGAGGAAGCCAGCCTGGGCAACTCAGAAAGACCCTCACCAGCTTATTGAGACCCTGTTTCAAAATTTTAAAAAAGGGATGGGGGATGGGGATGTAGCTTATTGGTAAAGTACCCCTGTACTAAATCCTTAGTACCAAGGAAAGAAAAGAAAAAAGAATATAAACTCAATGGTAATGTTTCACTAGACAATTTTCAAGAGTTTAATCTTCATTTGAAAATTTGAAATCTGAAAACAGTATAAACACTAAAATAGTATTGATATGAATTTAGATAAAGGAATGCAGATTTAATGACAAATTATTTTATAGCAACTAAACTTGAAAAATTTTGATAGTTTGTAAAATTTTGTGTATATATATATATATATATATATATATATACACACACACACACACACATATATATATACATAAAAATTGTGTAGGTAAATACAAAATAATAATTTTATCTTTATTTTTAAAGATAGGCATTGTTCCAATATCTTTGTCCCTTTAATAAGAAAAAGTTGGAAGTAATTTAAAAACAAATACCTTTGTCATGAGCAGTTAGTTATTTGCCGTGTTATGAAATAATATACTTCATGAACAAGTTAAATATTAAGTTCCTGAAAGACATCTAAAAGCCAATAACTATATAAGTTCATGATTACTAAAGAATTTATGTAAAGGCAGTACAATATGTCCTGTGAAATAGGAGCTTTGGAGACCCCAAATAAAACCTAATATTTTTATAATGTATTATACACATGCTCCCCAACTTATAATGGGGTTATCTCCCCAGAACTCCCCAGAAACTCAATGAATATATATATATAAAATGGATGAAAATGCATTTAATACATCTAACCTACAGAATACCACAGTTTAGTAATAGTACACTGTAGAATATTGCTTGTTTACCCTTCTGATTGAGCAGTTGCCTGAGAGCCAAGGTGCATACTGGAAGAGAATACTACATTTTGCAAGTCCAGAAAAGATCAAAATTCAGAACTTGAATTATGATTACTACTGAATGCATGTTGCTTTTGTACTATTGTAGAGCAAAAAAAAAAAAAAAGGTAAATCAAACTATCATTGAATCAGGGACTGTGTATATAAATAACTTCATATATATTATTATCTCATTTGAAAAACTATGAGAATACAATTGTCTTCTTAGGTAGGCAGAGAATTGTTTTCAATATATACTGTTCAAAGATGAAGAAATTAAAGTGTTCATGGTTGGTTGACTTGTTCAGGTTTATATACAGCTGGAACTATGCAGAGCTTGAACTTCGTCTTGTGCCTCCCACTTCTAGCTCCTGTACTTCACACATTATATCATACTTCTTTGTGGCAGTCACCAGCACAAAGAATACATTAGCAAACAAATTCAGTATTCTCTAAGATCTATCTTAATATGCTTCAGGTAGTGTCAAGTCTGTAGGAAAAAGAGGGGGGAGGGAGGGAGGGTGGGGGAGGAGGAGGAGGAGGAGGCGGAGGAGGAGGAGGAGATATTTCAGTACTCCATCAGATATTTCAGCACTTCTTTTAATCTGTTATATCAAGGAGGAGGAGGAGGAAGAGGAGGAGGAGAAGGAAGAGAAGGAGGAGGAGGAGGAAGAAGGAAGGGAGTGAGAGACCTGGAATCCAAATAAAGCTTCAATACTCTGGTTTCTCTTCAGATCATATAAATCTTTCACCTTTTACCAAATAAAGCTTCAGTAAACCCCACAACTGAAAAATTAATGCAGTAGGCATAGCTCTGGCAGAGAAAACAAAGCAAATTATATGGTAATCTCATTTTCAATTATACATTTTCATTATTTGAGCAATAGCATTCAAGGAAAACATTAAATTTTATTATTACTGGAGGCTGTCAGCTATAAAAACTGCTGAAGTCTGTTTATCTTTCAGGAATTTTTGTTTTTCTATTTGCCACAGTATATGAGAAAATGCTCAGAAAAATTAATTTTCACAAAACCAATGTTTCTACCTTGCCTATTTTATTTCTCAGAATGTCCACTCTCCATTCCCAATCTGTGGACATATTTAACATGTTACCTCAAAAATACTAATTCATTTTTTAATTTTTTCATTTATTCATTGCTCACTGCACATAATTACCTCCCCTACAGGACTCCTATTCTAACAAATTAGATTCACTTGCCATAGGCAATGATAATCACACATGAAATTAAACTTACTAGGTAACTTGAATTACATAATAAATTGTTTAAGTCCTACAGAGTTTAGAAGAATAAGGCCTAAGGCTCTATGTTACATTTACCTTTTGTTAAAAATAAATGCAGTTACCATTCTTGACATTTTACTTCCAATTTATTTTTTCCCATCTTAAAGTATGTTGTTGATCCACATACATAGACAGACAGACAGACACACATTTTTAAATGGGGAGAACTTGTAAACCATCACTTACTTGATTTTTCCTAAAGAAGCAGTAGTGAGTTGTTATCCATTTGAAACCAGTTATTTTACTATTCTTTCCCAGTCCATTTCCAAGTGAAAATTTAAAGAAGAAGCAATTCCAAACATAATAATTGTAACAAAAACCATAAATGGTTTACATTTTCTAGTTAAAAGATATATATTGTCCAATTAAACTGTTTTAGAAACCCTGGTATTTGGTATCAAAAGAGATACTGTAAAGCATAAGGATATAGAAAAGTAAAACATAAAACAATGGCAAAGCTGTGCCAAGCAAATACAATCTTTACAAAGTGAATATAGCTAAATTAATATCAGATAACTAAGTTTAAAAAAGAAGAATTATTAAACAGAAATAGTCATCATCTACTAATAGAATGGTATGTTTTAGCAAGAACATATAATGTTATACCTCTATATACCTAATGTCATAAGATATATATAGTAAAAATTGATAGAATACAAAAACAAAGTGACAATTCTCCATCATATATTTCAGTACCGTTCTTTTAATCTTTGCTATATCAAGTAGAAAAAGTATCTATGTGGGCATTAACCATATACTTGATCTAAGGAATATATATAAAGCATTGCAATGCATAATTAATAAAATAACCACATTTTCCCCCTCTACCACACAAATAATGTTTTTAAGGATAAACTAAACATTTAATAATAAAATGGGACATTATAAGACAATCACATTTTAGGAATGCAATAAATTAAATAGAAATTAATAACAAATAAGAAATCTAAAATTCTTTGAGTTGAAATATAATAAGGTAGCTTATAATAAATCTTTAGGAATATACCCAAAACTGAAATTTTACCATTAAAAATGTAAGTTACAAAAGAAGAAAAACTTAAAATAAATGATCTGGGTGTACAACTCAATAAATTGATAAAAATAAAATAAGGTAAATCAACAAAGTAGAAAAATGAAATAAATGAGGAATCAATGAAATATAAATTCTATAGATAGAATCCATAATGCCAAAGTTGGTTCTCTAAAAAAACTAACAGATGCCAGGCATGGTAGCGCATGCTCTAGCAGCTCCAGAGGCTGAGGCAGGAGGATCTCAGGTTCAAAGCCAGCCTCAGCAAAAGCAAGGTTCTAAGTGAGACCCTATCCTAAATAAAATACAAAAAAGGCCTGTGGATGTGGCTCAGTGGTTGAGTGCCCCTGAATTCAATCCCCAGTACAAAAAAAAAAAGACTAACAAAATAGAAGTATCTGCCAGACTGTTAGCAGAGAGTGGTATGGAGAATAAGCTTAAATAGATAATATTAGGATTTAAAAAAAAAAAAACATAGTATAAACCAGGTGTGGTGGTCCACGCCTGTGATTCCAGCAGCTTGGGAGGCTGAGGCAGAAGGATTGTGAGTTCAAGGCCAGCCTCAGCAAAAGCAAGGCACTAAGCAACTCAGTGAGACCCTATCTCTAAATAAAAAATACAAAATAGGGCTGAGAATGTGGCTTGGTGGTTGAGTGCCCCTGAATTCAATCCCTGGTACCCTCCCCAAAATATGTACAGATAGAATTGAGATTAAAAAGATATAAAGCACTATAAACAACTTAAGGCCAACAAATTTCAAAACAGAAAAATTCCTAGAAAAGTATAAATTACCAGAATTTAGGAAAAACCAGAACAGAAGTCACAAAATATTAACCCCCTCAAAACAGAAGATCTAGATGTATTTATGAATTAATTCTATCAAATTGATTAGAATCAGATAGTTTAATACTGGTTTCTTCAGAGAATATAAACATAATAATCCCCAAATCATTTTATTAAGCTAGTATAGTCTTGATACCAAACTAGGACAAATACAGCAAAAGAAAAGAAAATCAAAGACAAGTGACTAATTAGTGCCATTTTATATGCAAAAATAAATAAAATATTAGTAAATTAAATCCAAAAGTATATGTAAAAGATAAAGTACAATCAAGAAGGATTTAAGAATATAAAGATAACACTTGTACATTATGCACTTACTCTAGCCATGATGTCTTTAGTTTGGCATCATTGCCCCCTCCCATCTCTAAACTACACAGGAGCAGCAACTAAAACCTGTTTCAACTGCAGTAAACTACTCATTCAGGCTATTTCCTCTAACCATTAGGCTCAGAATCCAACCTCCTCAAAAAACACTGAAACAAAATCTGCCATGATTTTTAACCTTACATTTATCACAATGAACATACAAAATGTAAGCTTCTCCTGCTACCTCTTCCCACTCCCTATTTCTCACCACTCCCATTCATTCTTAGCTATATACCATCATCCCCACGATAGTCTATGCTTTCTTGTTTTCCATAATCTACATACTTCCCTTTATTTTCAACTTTCCTCTAAGCATTTCTTTCACATCTTTGACAGAACTGAAAAGGCTCTTCAAAGAGGGCACACTTTCCTTTCATTGGTTTGACAACCCAGCCATATTCAGTACTGTTCCCAACAAGGAACAGTCTTGATCTTAACCTGCTACTTCACCTCGGCCACCTACCTCCTTCGTTGTCATGTGTATTCTTTCTCCCCAAATCACTACTCCAAGCATCATTATTTATTTGTGGACTACTACCAAAATTTTGGTTTTTTGATTTCTTCTGGACCTCTGCTGCATTTATTCTTCTACATTCATAATGCTTCTCGTGTGTGCTATTCCTCTGCCCCACACTCTTCACTTTCTTTAGATTTCATGGTCCATCATTCCATTTCTTAGCCCTTCTTTGCTTTCAAGTTATTCATAAAATGAGACTTCCAAATACTGCTATTTATTTTTTTCTATTCTATCCTATAAGAAGTTGGAGACCAGTAGAGAAAAAATTGTACAATTTCATTCATTTATTTACCACTGTGTGACAATTCCACCACGTTTCTTTGATCAACCCAATCTCCTATTCTTTGCAACAATTTTCCTAAATACTTATTATTCTCATTCTTCTTCAATCTCAGAAGATGACCTTGCAAATTTTATAGAAATCTGAAGGTATCAGATGAGATCATCTTCAACTTTCATTATCAAACTCATAAACATTTGCATCAATTTTCTTCATCCTCTGAGCTGTTATATAAGAAGAGACATTCCTTCTCTGAATACTGATTCACTTATGCTTTAGAGTTGGACTTCCCACCTTCTCAGGAGTCTTAAATTCATATTTTCTTAGTTCTTCACAGAGCTATATTCCTACTTCCACACACTCAGTCACTCCCTTCCATTAGTATCTTTCCCCTTAATATGCGTGTCCCATTAGGTTGCAAGTCACTTTCTTAAATTTCAGTTTCTGAACTGTTGAAAAGAGTGTAATAAAAATGAAAATATTTTGTAACTTGTAAAGTACTCTCTGATGAGAGTTAGTTTAATGTTATTAGAATTTGTTCTAACCTAGAGAGCAAAGGAATTAACTGACTTCCCAAGGCTTTATTTCTTATTTGGCAGATCTAGAGGTATGCCTCAATTCTCTATAATTAATAGCTATTTATAATTTAAAATGAGAATGTTTTCAATAATGCTAACTTGAAAGCATAGAAAGAATTATTTAAAATCTTCGTTTCAATTATTCTTGTTTAGACAAGGATATTACAATCTAGCACCAGAGCTTATTGACATTCAGAATTTTAATCATAGCATTTGTATCTGGTGTATCTACAACTAAATTGGATTTGACTAAAATAGAACCTAAGACCTGATTAAACTACTTCATCCCTATCATTAATTCCCCTCCATAACTCTATATACAAAAGAACTCTTTAACAAACTGAACAAATTAAATGAAGGATCTTTTCCAAAAATGTCAAGTTTTCTTAATTAAGAATTTTTGCACAGGGCATTTTCAGGATTAGAATTTCAGAAGTCCTACAGTATAACATAAAATGTGGCTTTATTTGATGGTGTCAAGTGTATAATATATTTTAAAATATTTTTTTAAATGTGAAAAAAGAAGAACTTATTTTTATTATTAAGACAAATATAATAGTTATTTACCCAAATATTTACTCTAACTATGTGTCCTGTGGATAGTAATTAATGTGTATTTCAATTGTATTCATCAAATTTGGATCTAGTCAACAATTTTTTGCCCAACTTCCAAGAAGGTTGTAAAAAGCAATTGAGATAATGAATATGAAAGCACTTTCAAAATGGCAAAAGCAAGGACAAATGTTCTGTCATTTCTAAGTCACTTTTATTCTTTGTCCTTAATAAGTAAAAATTTATTACTATTTTAATTTACATTTTAAACGGTTATAAACTTCATTACAACTCATTGGTTACCTTTAGTGAATATTCATTAACACTGTTGACATTCCCAGCATAAGTATTCATGAGGTTAAAGTAAGAAATCAAGAGCAGTTATTTATTATGCATTGGTTAATTTATATTTAGTCAAATTCTTAAGGTGAGAATCAACAAATATTATGAGCTTGTAATAGAGCTCAGATCAATCCTTTGTTGGTAATACATTATGAACCTCTTAACTGCTGAACTTCTAGCAGTGGGTACAATGAAAAGACATTACGTATGTCCACAAAATACCACAGAAGAAAGGCAAAGGGAGGCGCTATGGCAAAAGGCAAACTGTGTTAAGGGTAATATATGGAGTATTTAAAAATTTTTTTTTAGTTGTTGATAGACCTTTATTTTATTTATTTATATGCAGTGCTGAGACTTGTGCCTCACATGTGCCAGGCAAGTGCGCTACCACTGAGCCCCAGCTCCATCCCTGGAGTATTTTTTAATATTAACTATTTCCTTAGGGAACTCCTTTGTCTCTTCTTTCTCAAGTTTCTTTTTTTTTTTGTTTTTTTTACATGCGTGTAGTTATAAATCCAGTCATGACTGAAGACCACTATCATTAATTTCTTCCCTTTCTACATGCATGCACCATTTGGTCACCCCCACTGAAAGTTGGGCTGCTTTTCCCCTTGGCAAGGAAACCTGGCTGGACCTGTGTTTGCTTTGACCAATTGAATTCAAGGAAGTGATATTCTGGAGATTCCTAATCCGGGCCCTAAGATAATTGATGAGATCTACTTACTTTCTCTTTGAACACTGAATGTTGGGACCCTTCCTTTTGGATTTCAGCCACAATTTCAGCCACGACTCTGTGGAGAGGTCTTGTAGGAGAATCAGAAAAACAACCATGTGGATGAGCCATCCTGGATTTTATAGCCCTTAAATAATGAAAGCCCTAGCCAACATCATGTGGCCCAAAAACCATCCAGCTGAGCCAGCTAAGCCCTTCATACCCACAGAATCAGAAGAGACAACGGTTGTTCTAAGCCAGTAAATTTTGAAGATGCAAGTTATGGAGCAAAAGATAACCAAAATAGAAAATGGTGCCTAGACACAGGGTACTGCTGAAGCAAAGTCAGAATATGTACCCTTAACTTTGGAACTGGGCAAGAAATAGAGGATTTAGGGTTTTAATTAACAGTGGTGTCTAGAACAATGAAGAAATTGAAAGGCAACCCTTGTTATGAAAGGCAATAAATACTTTCACCTGTAGTAATGTGAAAGGTAAGACTAATAAGCCTGTGAAAACTGCTAAAGGGAAAAGGCAGATTAATATATTTATGACTCTAGCTAAGATTTCCAGGTAGGATACTGAAAATGCCAAATGACTTTTACCTGCCTATGATCAAATCTGAAAAGAAAAAATAAATGAGCTAAATAAGCTGTTCAGTTTTGAAACAAAAATCTAGAAGAAACATAGAGAATCAAGAACACCTTTTCCAGCCATCTATTTCTCCTCAAGGAAGAAATGACCTCAGAGTAAAGATCAAATTCAAGGAATTGCTGGTAAACCATAGAATCAGGATAAGTTAGGATCAAAATAGAAAATATGCCTCTGTAATATCCTTTAAGACTTCCGAAATATTTAAGCCAGTGCCCATAAACCTCTTACCCAGACAAGAAGATTCTAAGGATCTCACAGACCTACAGGGTAGACCATTTAGCCAGATAATGAGTATTTAAGACTCTTGTCTCTCCACTCCTGATTCTCAGCTAAAAGTATAGACAGACCTATCTTGAAGAGATTTGTTAAGTGTGCCTTTTGTCTAATGGAGTTGATAACTTGATTCAAAGGACACGCAAGGTGCTTTTAAAGGAATTACACACTCTTTTAAGGGATAGAAAGTACAAAATGAAGAGACTTCTGGGTCTTCAATCTCCAAAAATCAGGAAGCAGTTTGAGAGAACTACTCAGCTTTAGTTCTCATCTATTATTTACCTTTGTAGTACGAGAGATTGAACCTAGTGGTGCTCTACCACTGAGCTACATCCCCAGCCTTTTGAGACAGCATCTTGCTAAATTTCCCAGGAAATTTTTCCCTAGTCACTGGGATTATGGTTGTGCACCACTGTGCCTGACCAGTGACAGTTACTCAGTGGATGACTCCAAGCAGAGTCAGTATTTCATAGGAAATAGCTAATAGCTGAGAATCACTTTGGGGGAGAATTAGGCCTTAATCAACATACATTTTCTTCTTCCAGAATCATGATGAATTACAGACATGTACTCAATTGGCATTCTGAATTGCCATAGCTTATTCATTGTTGTGTGTCACTCATTGCACCTCTTGAACAAGGGTATCTGCTGCTTGACTATTGGGTGCTAGATGAATATGGGGAAAAAACTTGTTTCCCTAGTTTCATGCATCTTCAGATAGAGAAATTGCAGGAAGTATTCCTCATATGTACTTGAAACTGATTTAGATCAAACTAGGCATTGAGCTTGAACCTGATGCCATGTTGAGATGAAAATAAGATTTCTTGGGATGCAGTGAATGCATTCTATATGGCCAAAAGGTATATTAGACATCTCCAAAGATGGCTGACTTCACGCCTGTCCTTTCTTTTGTATGTACTTCCTTTGTGAATTAAGAGAAAAGGGTTGTTTTTTTCCTTCTTCTTTAATCTAGGCTGACTCTGTAAATTAGTTTGGCCAACACAATTTAATGGAAATTATATTCTGGGACTTTAAACCAGGGCCCCAACAGAACTCCACACCTCTTTTCCTCTTCTTGAAATACTCATACTTATAATGCTACTTCTTGAATCCCAGGCACCATGATAGAATACCAAGTCAGATGGAGAGGCTACATAGATGACTGTGATAGCTGGATTCCCAACTGCCATATGAATGAACTTTCCTGTTTGATTCAACCCTAATCTAGTTCCTAGATTCACAGAATTGTGAGAAAAATTAAATACTTAAATATTTTCTTATGCAGTGCTAGAAACTGAGCACTAGTAAACTCTACCACTGAGCTACATCCATAGCCCTTTCAATTATTTTTTCTTAATTGAACTCAGGGGTGCTTTACAACTGAGCTGTGCCCCTAGCTTTTTTATTTTGAGAAAGTGTCTCACTAAGTTGCTTAGGGCCTTGCCAAATTGTCAAGGACAGCCTAAAACTTGGGATCCTCCTGCCTCCACCTCCCAAGTTGCTGAAATTGCAGGTGTGTGACACCAGACATATATTTTTTAATGCACACCATCTTTATTAGTACTGTCACATTTCTAACTTTTCAATCTATTGAATGTAAAATGGTATTTATTGTGATCTTAGCCAAGTATTTAAGAAGTTAAATATCTTTCGTGTGTATAGTCACATCCTGTTAAAATACCTGGTTTGTCTTCTGCTTATTTTTCTACAGGACAATATGAATAGAAGGGAGACAATGGGCATCCTTGTTGTGTTCCTCATTTTTAATGCATATAGTAGTCATGATGCATGTTCTCTTTTAAGATGACACTGAATTCATTTGAATAGTGCTTCTTTTATGATTGATAAGAATTGATATTAGCCTATAGTTTTCTTTCCCCTTACTAACATGTCTGATTTTAGGAAGCTATATAAGTCTCATATACTCAGCTAGAAAGTATTCCCTTGACATGTGTGCTTGGAAAATTTGTATAAATTTTGGAATAGTGTATTTTTGAAAGGGGTAAAACTTACTCTAAACCTTGGTCAGGTGTTGCCAACATTTTTTAAATTTCTTTTTACTACAAAACAGTACTAAGTCCAGTTTTTCTCTCTTCTTGAGCCCATTTAAGTAAATTGTAGTTTTCTGGAGTTTAGTCTATTTTGTCTGTTTTCAAATATGTGAGCACTAAGAAGCTCTTGGTACTTTTTCCCCCATCTATGCTGTACCTGTGGGATCGAACCCTTTCAATCTTTATGCTGTTTACATGTGCTTGTTTTCTTCCTGTTCCATTATGCCAGTTTAGTTTTGTCATGAAAACAATGTTGATGTTGTTAATCTTTTTTTTTTTAAAGAGAGAGTGGGGGAGAGAGAGAGAGAGAATTTTTTAATATTTATTTTTTAGTTCTCGGCGGACACATCTTTGTATGTGGTGCTGATCGAACCCGGGCGCACGCATGCCAGATGAGCGCGCTACCGCTTGAGCCACATCCCCAGCCCAGATGTTGTTAATCTTTATCTTTTTTAAAAAAGAGAGAGAGAGAGAGAATTTTTTTAATATTTTTTTTTTAGTTTTCGGCAGACACAACATCTTTGTATGTAGTGCTGAGGATGGAACCCAGGCCGCACCCCCAGCCCTAATCTTAATCTTTTTCTAATTCATCAATTCATTACTTTCATTTCCTTCTACATTGTGTATTCTAGTGTTTTAAGTCAGACATTTAGTCATTTTCCCTAATTTCCTTTCAAAGTGTATTTCTACCCTATCAATTTTTAAAAACAAATTACTTAGATTCTCAGTACTTATGGGTGTGGTTTTTTTATTTTCTTTTTTCTTTTGACCTCCATATGTCTTATTTTATTTTAGACGTTTTTCTTTTAAAACAGCTTATAGTTAATTTTTTTTTTTAAAAGAGCTGACCAACCTGTCATATGACTAGGTAATTCAGTATACTTAAATACTAATACAAGACTGGTTACTATTTTTTGTTTCTGCGTGGTGAGGACTGAAGCCAGGGCTGGCACATGCTAAGCAAGTACTCTGCCACTAAACTATATCCCCTACCCTATTATCTTACTAGCATTGCCTCAAATCCCCAATATATTCCTTTATCTGTATTTACTGCCTTCCTATTCTACATTTTACATTTATTTTTTCTTGGAATGACCGATCTCCTATCTATTTTTTTTAGAGGTCACCCTTAAAATTTTTAATATTTATTTTTTAGTATTTGGCGGACACAACATCTTTGTTTGTATGTGGTGCTGAGGATCGAACCCGGGACGCACGCATGCCAGGCGAGCGCGCTACCGCTTGAGCCACATCCCCAGCCCTTTAAAATTTGACTGTATATATGTAAATAATCACATTAAAATAAAAGCACCTCAGGACACTGTAATTTTAATCACCCTCTTCCCATTTTATAAGCTACTATGCAGCTTTCCAATTATATCCTTATTTGAAAATTCCACGTCATTCATGTTTTATAATAATATTTATTTACAATTATATTTGTTTACAGTTTATCATAAATGCCCTTCCTTTATGATCGTGTTATACAAACAACACTTTAAATTTACATATATTTATTATCCTATTTGCTTACTGGTTCTTCAATTCCAGATAATCCTTTCAGAGAAATTCTCCCTGTTGAAGATCATCCATTCGCAGTTTAAATGAAGGTCTGTTGACAGTCAATTTTGCTTCATGCGAATTCTAAGCTGACACTTTTTCTCAGATTTGAACATACCATTCTATCACCTTTTGGACACACTGGGGATACTATTGCTGTCAGGAAGCCTACTAAATATCTGTCTGTCTTGTGTTCACTGAAGATCTTTATGCCGTCTCTGGATGCTTTTGAAATCCTGTATTTGATATCATGCAGTTTACTCCATTAGGTCTAGCCATAGACTTGCTTTAAGTATGTATATATTGTAAGTATGATATATTGTACTTCCTGAATTTGTGAATTCACATTTTTCAAAAATTGTGGAAATTCTGTTATCTTTTCAAATATTGCCTCTTCTCCATTCTATTTTCTCCTCCTAGTCCTTACAGTTCTTTACTCCATATCTCTTACCTAATATTTTCAAGCTCCTTTTATTCTCCTTGCTGCTTCCTGGTAATGTCTTTAGACTTAGCTTCCAGTTCACTGGTCTCTTCAGCTGAATCTACTATAATACTCAGTATACCTGACGGTTACTTTTTTCTAATTTCAACAAATACATTCTCATTCCCAGGAGTTCCATTTTGTTCTTTTTCAGAAGTGGCTTGTGGTTTCATTCTCCATTTGGAGAACTCAATTCAATGTTTATTTTTTCCATAGGTTCTTTCTCATGCTAGCTAGTTTCACCTTGTGGCATGATATCTGGTCATGAAATAGTATTGCTAATCATTATCTATGGGAATCTTGGGACTTAATTACAAGTGTTTCCCTTCTGTTTCTGCCAGAAGCTACAGAGTTCTGTAAACTGAGGGCTATTTAATATTCAACTGTTCTGGCTAGGGCAGCATCTCAGATTCACATCTGGTGTTAAGCAAAATGCTTATAACAGTGCTGCTAGTGGTACCTGGCATGCAGGAAACCAAAATTCACTTGTATTAATGCTTAAAAATAGTACTCATGATTCCCAACTAAAAAAGTGTTCATTTTTGTGGAAGAGGAAAGACTGAGGTGTGATTTCTTAAAAGGTTTTTTCCAACTTCTTTTGAGCACATTCAAAAGCAGATTTTATTCAGGATCTTGTTGTTTTAAAGTATCTAGTCTATTATATTGCTGGAAGCAAAGTCCTATTTAATGTATTTAAAAAGTTATAATACACTAACCTGAGAAAGCACATAATTTGTCATTTGTTATTCATTCAAATCTCTCTGGAAAGGTTCCTTAGCCCTTAATCACTTGAACACGTATCAGAAAGGTCTTCGAATACAAACAAAGCCCACAAATTACTGAACCACTTGGGAGAAATTTCTCCTGGGCGGGTCTAGTAGTAAGCTATTGTAGTCAATACTGTTTAAATGTTTAATGTCCTGATCAATATGTGATCTAGTTCAACAGGACTAACATCTGTTAATATCCCACATTTTGAACCCTTTCAGAAATGGATAATGCTTTGCTACATGCAACTCTCATCTAGATGCATAACTTTATTTTTGGAAACCTGAGCTGCCTATAATATAAACAGATGCTAAACAAGGCAGCTGGTGAATTCACGTTGGTAAGAAACAAACACACCTAATAGGCATTGTGGTAGAAGATCTGACTGCTAGTGTCTTGACTACAGAGGGACTGTGTATATCTTTATTATTCATAGTTGTTGATCAATGTTCTCTGGATGATCAGGAAGCTCTTTGTGCCTCACCCTAATCACTGAAGTAATGAAAGGAGATACCCGCAGCAAGAACTGCAACTGCAAATGCTGCAATCACACCTAAAAGTAAAACAGACACAAAACAAATGGAAATGGAATGAGCAAAAGAAAGGCTTAACTCTTCCTAGGCTCTGAAATGCAGGGAATAGATGAGCTATAACACAGCACACACAGAGACATACACTTATACATACACTGTATCATAATACACACACATATGGTCTATACTAAAAGCCAGTGAAGTCTTAGCAGAAAATAAAGCTATAAGTTGAAAAATTAGACTACAAATGTTGGACAAAATGTCTTACACAGAGGTGTGCACTTGGACAAAAAGACAAAATAAATTCTTTCAAAGATTTCTATGAATATACACACATGCGCACAACACAGAGAATACACCAACCATCTCACAATACTAAGTTTAAGCCAAAAAAAAAAAACCAGCAATAAACAGTCAGTAGTTTTCAAATATTAAAATGCAAAGTCGTCTGTGTAGCTATTCAAAACTATAAAAGCCAAGGTTTATAAATTCACAGTAATAGTAAGTTGCAGTTGGCAACTTTTAGTTTTTCCTGATTATGATAAGTTAAAAAAAGAAATTAACCAAAGTCGTTCATACAGACCAACGCATAGAGATACAAAGAATTTAGGTAATTAAGTAAAGCTTATCTAATGAGTGACAAGAACTACAACTAAATATCTGGCTCCTAACTATAAGTAATAAATAATAATGTTTAGCATTTCTTGAATTGTTATTCCACTAAGCAATAATCTACTTTTTCTTTGTTCAAAAAATCAAAACATACTGAAGGGACTATTGCACTTCTTGGAGCATTTAAAATACAAAAGTGCGGGGCTGGGGCTGGGGTTCAGCAGCAGAGCACTTGCCTGGCAAGTGTGAGGCCCTGGGTTCGATCCTCAGCACCACATAAAAATAAGTAAATAAATAAAGGTATTGTGTCCAACTACAACTAAAAAATAAATATTAAAAAAATTCATTAAAATACAAAAGTGCATTTTAAATTTCCAGACAAGTATTTTGATTTTTTTTCATAAAACACCTCAAAACATTCTAGGAATACCACTTTGGCTTCTCTTTACTAATTGATTCCAAAAACTCTAGATGTTTTTCTTTGAAAACACCAAAAGCTTATGGGCTATGCCATCTTTGAGGGCACTTAGGTGATAACACATTATTTATAAACTTTTCTTCCTCAAGAACCCCGAACTTTCCATAATATTTAACAAATACTAATAATCTGGTATTAATCTAGTACTTTTAAGAAATAAAAATAAATTTAAAGTACTAAGAAAACTCAAAACCCAAATATTATTTTTTCAATGTTATAAAAAAAGGTAAAATACCTATGTTTTGCCGAATTTTCAACATTACTGTAGTTTTAATTGGTTGCTCCAGTTGTTTATCATCTTTGTGTTCCAATGAAGCTTCATTATTCATAGAGCTCATGCAAGCTGTAAAAGATAATAATAAATCCAATATAAGATGAGAATTACCATTTAAACTGAGTTTTAAAGAACATACAATCAATACTGATTTTCTTCTACTCATCTTTTTTATAACATTATAAAATTACTCCTTATCTAATGTAGGTGAACTGCATATCATAGAATATATGTCAAATATATCCCACTCATGGTATATGTTAAACAGGCATAGCTTTCCTATTTAACACAGTTTTATCATTGACCCAACCAGAAAGCTACAGAGCCAGTATCAAATGATTCCCAGTTTTTATACAGCTCCTGAGCTAAAAAATAGATTACAAAAATAATGTGAAAGAGAGCTTATGTGGCTCTATTTTATGTACAACCAGAGATAGGAAAAAATGTGAATTGTAATGTACTCTGTTGTCATATATAAGAAATTAAATTTTTTTAAAAATCCAAAAAAAGAATAAAACAAAAATATTTTTTAAAAAAGATTATTTATGAAGTAAAAAAAAAAAAAAATTACTATTTGGCCTGATACAGAAAAAGAGTGCTGACTCTTGATCAAATCTGCAAGTTCAAATATACAAGCAAACATTAGAAATGTGACCTAACCACACTCTAAATGTTAAAGAGGACAAATACATCACCCCATTTTACAGGTGGAAAACAAAACCTAGGAAAGTGCATAACTTGAGGGTCATGGGCATCAAGTGAGGATTCAAACAAAAGTTTTCTTTTAAGGTTTATGTAGCTCAATGGTATAGCACTTGCCTAGCATGTGTGAAACCCCAGGTTTGAGCCCTAGTACCCTCCCCAAAAGAGAGAGAAAGCATTCAACTAAAAAGAAAAGTTTTCTTTCTACTTCATTATGCTGACAGTGACTTACATAGATTGTCCTATCAGAATTTACTGAACACTGATTAAAAGTGACCTGATAACTTAGAGATTACACAGGGTAGGAATTTTCAATTTTCTTTTTTCTCCTCTAGTGCTGAAGAATTCTATGAAAACAAAAATCTGACAGAAAATCTCAGTATAATAGATGAAAAAAGTTACTACTGAGTTTGCATCAGGGGTGGAAGTTCCTGCAACCTGACCAGTTAGTTCCTTTCTTCTATCCGGTCTCATTCCAGAAGTGAGAGTGGAGTGCTGCTCTATAGAATTCTAGGAAACTACATCTGAAAACTACAGTTTCAGATTGATTCTTTTAATGTACAAAAAGAGAAAAAAAAAAAAAAACTGCAAAGAGACATAGTAAATACCATCGCTTAAATTTAAAGTAAAATAGCCCACTGTTTTAATTTAAAATGTCCTTACAGATGTTTGTACCCCATTTTACTAGCATATGACCAGGAAGTTAACATATGAACTTCCTGCAATGGATACCCAGGGCACCAAATGGATACAAGGGAAAAAATTACCTATTTCTCATTAATTTCCCATGAAGGTAAGTTTACTATGGTTTTCAGAAATAATCACTAGTAACTACTTCACTGAGATCAAGTGCACCACCATTCTTTCTTCAAGTATATAACTAAAGTGCTTTAACTTGGACCAATCCTCAAACCCCACCCCCCTTTTTTTTTCCTTTTTGTTTTTTCTCACAGTGCTAGGGGCTAGTGAATGCTAGCCAAGTGCTCTGCAATGAATTACACCCCTAGCCCTTTTCTCCTTTTTTCTACTCTCAATCAAATTAATCAAAAAAGATGAGACAGTAATATTATGAATTGTCTCTATACTATTTAACAGTTCCAATTTCTCAAGGGCTATTATACTTTAGTTCTAAACTATAATTGGTCCAACAGCTTCAAATTTCCTCCAACTTCAGTCTATAGGTCTAAAAGTTGAATGGGACAGCAAAATTGTATTTATATTAAACTTTGGATCTTCTGTTAGCAAATATCTTGGCTAGGTTCTTTCCATCTTTGGGACAATAAAACCCTTGTATCAAACACACAACACTTTACTAAGACCCTAGCCTCAGTAAATATTTGTTGACAAAAAATTATCAATTTTGTTAAGTTCTAGGGATTAGGATCCAAGGATCAATAAAATAGTGATCCCTGTCTTTAATGAGCCAACTAGAATTAAAAAAAAAAATCTGTATAGATACTAACTTGTCATTAACTTTCATATGTCAGCCTAGGTCAACTTCACCCAGGTTTTTCAGAGTTCCCTGTTCTATGCTATTCTTCATTCTTGTAATTATCTAAACCATTATTTGAATATCAAATGCTGATCTTCCATATTCGCCTATAAGATCTTTAAACATAAATAGGTAAAATATTTATCTACCTGAACTCCATGCCTAAAACATGGTAGGTGTTCATCACTATTATTTATTGATACAGACTGACACAATTTGTATGTCTGTCTGTTTTGGTGGGAACATAAAGGATTTAAACTCAAATCTCAAGACATTAGGTCATTTCACCAATATGTCAATGTTATTTGAAAATTTAGATATAAATAGCATGACTTAATAAGAACTATTCCTTAAAATTAAGTAATTCTAAATTCAGACAAATCTTAAATTAATCATGAAAGAAAGTAACCTTCTTGAGCAACTCTTAACAAAAGAGGAAAAAACGGCCATGTATACATTCAAAGTTGTTCATTCCAAGCTGCTAACGGGTAGAAAGGACTATTTAGAAGCTTAAAATGAAATGTTAAGACTTGAATTCCTTAGTTGATTGTCTTCTGTATCTTTTTTACTAAGTAAAGTATCACTATGGTTGGCAATTAGCCATAAAAATACAACTTTAGTGTTAACTCATTTTTCCTTTAAATCCTCAATGTTTAACTGAACAACAAAAATGAATTTCAGCTTTGATATCCAGACATAAATGTCAAAGATGAGTTTCACCAGATTTTAAAGGTGTGTCTTCATTTTTTTCAATCTGATACTATGGATAAAGTATGTCTGAATTATTAAGTTAATGTCTACTGGGGGATGACTAACACATCTAAGAAATTTTAAAGCCATAGTTATCCCTTACCATAAGTGAGTCATTTTGACAAACAAATTGTCCTTCATCTCTTAAGTCATTTAGAAGTATGTTATTTTAAAATACTTACTTGGCAAAACATGTATTTTAAACATAGCAACTACTTGGCAACTATATTATAGAACATAAATAATTAAATAATAATCAAGCAAATAATAATTTCAAATAACTTAGAAATAAAGCCAGATACTTAAAACAAATTGAATGTTCCTAAATGTGTAACTGATTTTAATTTTTTAATCTGAACATCTGAATTACTTTTTGTAGTTTACTTTATATGGAAATCCTAATTCCAAATGTTTAGGAAAATCTATGCATATTACAAAAAAACTTTCATATTATAATGTGAATCTTTTTTTATTTTTAAGGTGCTGGGATTGAACCCACAGAAGCTTTACCATTGAGGCACAACCCCACTCCTTTTTATTTTTTGAGATAAGAGTCTCACTAAGTTGCAAAGGCTAGCTTCACACTTTTGATCCTTCTTCCTCAGTCTCCCAAGTCACTGAAATTACAGATATGGGATACTGTGCCCAGCTTAATGTTTTTTTAAATATATTTATATATAAAATCCACAATCTAAGGTTTAAAAGTACTTCATATTAGTGGGTTCATGCTAATATTTAATATGATACAAACAATGCTAATGATAAAGCTAATGAGAGAGAACTGAGAAATAGGGTTAAAATATATTTAGTATGCATATAAGTAATGGAAAAGAAGAATGTTGTTTTGGTTCTTAAATCTCATTTATTTGCAAAAATGAACACCATGCAAAACTATGGAACTTTAAGTATAATTGGGATTAACCAGTACAATATACAATAATTTATAAAATAGCTATGTGCTTTCAATGACCTTTCAGTGGAAATAAAATACAAAAGTAGTCATGATAAAGAATGAAAAAAAAAAAAAATGGAAAAAATTTACTAAAATTTTAAAATGCTAATGCCAAAATTTTGATACTGTAGATTATAGGTTATTGATAATACTTACTGCTTGTTAATTCTGATTAAGTTCTTAGGTACCAGTACTCTTAGGACCTTATTACATTCTCTGAATAAGTAATAATATATATGACATTCTATCTTCCAAATCAGATTATGGGCTTTTTTTTTTTAAATATTTTTTTTAGTTGTTGATGGATCTTTATTTATTTATATGTGGTTCTGAGAATCAAACCCAGTGCCTCACACAAACTAGGCAAGCGCTCTACCACTGAGCTACAACCCCAGCCTTGATTATGGGCTTCTTGAGGAAAGGAATCCAGTTATTGATTCCCATCTATTATAGCCTTGAATAGAGCAATGCTTAATATATATCTCATAAATAGACATACTAAATGCTGTAAACTAGAGTTACTATTTCTGGCACAACAACCAGTACTATGTGTTTTCAAGAATTTTAAATGTTCTCTACCCCTTACAATGTTCTGAACTATTGAGCCATAAAATTATGACTATTATGTCCTTTTTAAATTCTAATCATGTTCAATATAGTGTACTACAAAAACCTTATAAACTTCATGTCTAAGTGTGAATAAAAAGGTGTGCTATTGTCATAAAAAATAAATGCACAACACAGGGAACTATGAAAAAGTTTAATGAAAGTGACCTAGTTTGAGCACATAAAAGTTAATGACAAGTTTAAAAAAAATTCTAGTTGATTCACTGAAGACAGGATCGGTATCTCATTGATCTTTGGATCCCAATCTCTAGGATTGACAAAACCAATAATTCTGTTGTCAACAAATATTTAATGAGTCCCTATGATGTGATGAGGCTAGGATCTTAGTAAAGCGTTAGAAACACAGTATAAACAACAAAGGCAAAAGTCCTTGGCCTTGTGAATTTTAGGAAATACTCAATAAATGCTTGCTGAACTACAAATATAATGGCTTCATAGAATTTTGAATTTATTAGATTTTAGTTTGTTTTGGGGAAGCTCATGCAAGGCTATCTTATAGTGGTAAGTGTCTTAGCAGTGTTAAGAACATGAACCCCGTTATTAACTCTTTTAAAGACTAACTTTAAAAGCACTAAATAAAATAAAAGCCAGTCTGTACACTCTTACATTTAAAATACAACAACAAATGAAACATGAATTAAAAATATTTAAAATTATAGTCAAAAAATATAAATGAAATCTTTCTCTTCTTTCTGTTTTAGATCCAATTTTTAAAGAAACTTATTAGTGGGGCAGGTTTTGCAAACAGTGCTACCATTATTACTCCTTCCTTAGTTTACGACAAGCTACTTACTAAGAGTGAGACAAAGAATATGAAAAATATGAAAACCATATATGATAACAGATCCAAGATTCCAGCTAATAAGAAACTAAATTGTCATGATCAATAATAAATTAAACTAGGATACTATAACAACATTCATTTACGTTAAACAAGTTCCAAAGGACAGAATGAAGGACAACAGGCTAAAATAAGTATCTAGATGATGGAAAATAACAGTCCTATAGTCTGTATTAGTTAGGCTCACAGGAAGGCCATAAATAAACCTGTCAGGAAAAAAGCACAGCTGCTAAACCAAGTAGCCTAAGTTAATTTCTAGTTCCTCCATTAACAGCAATATAAATGAGAAATTACTAAAACCTTCAGAGCTTAAATCCTCTTAAATGGAAAACAGGGTTAATATAACAGCATCCACATCACAGCAGCTGTTACAAGGATTAAATAATTTAGTATTTATAAAGTTTTTAAAACAGTAGCTGGCACACAGTAGGTTCTTTATTAACAATGGCTAATATTAATATAGCCATATATTACATAACAATATTTTAGTCAATGGTGGACCCAATATATGATATTGCTTACATAAGATTATAATGAAGTTGAAAAGTTCCTATCAATGAGTGAGGTCATAGCTGTGGCATTCATCTTAATGTCACAGAGCAACACATGACATGTTTGTGATTATGCTGCTGTAAACAAACCTACTGCGTTGCTAGTCATATAAAAGCATAGCACATACAATTATGCATTGTATATAATACTTGATAATAAACAACATCACTAGCTTATATATTTATTATACTTTTTATCAATATTTATAGTACAGTCCTATTTATTTAAAAAAAAAAAAAAGTTTACTATAAAACAGTATGCCACAACCTGAGGTGTAGCTAAGTGGTAAAATGCTTGCCCAGCATTTAGGAGGCTCTGGGTTCAAACCCCAGGCCCTAAAATAAATGAAAAAATAAAATTTAAAAACAAAATAGCATGCCATGCTATGCCAGCATCAACTCCGGACACATCATGTTTAACCTGTCTCTTGACTGCATCAAATGTTGAGTAACTAACCAAGTTTGTGTAAAATACACTCTATGATGTTCACACAACAATAAAATTAATGAAAAACACATTTCTCAGAATGTTCAACTGAGTGTAACATCTCAATAAAGACAAGTCAGAGTACATATAAGGAAGTAGTGTTTTGGGGGTTTTTTTGAGATGGAGATCTCTTCATTTAACCCAGGATATCTGTCCTGAAACTCCTAGGAGCAAGAGATCCTTCTCCTCAGTCCCTTTAGTAGTTCAGATTATAGGGACATACCAACACACCTGGCTCCAGTGTACTTTCAAAAAGTAGGTATTTTCTATCTGTTCAAGAATATACCAGAGTTACACTTTTAAAAAACATAGCTGCTCTTTAAAACTGAGCACTAAGCACTTTAGAAGAGTGCAGGTTTTTTTCTTCAAAACATTGTTCACATCATGATCAACATTAATCTGATTGGAAAAAACTAAGCCTGGGTGATCTTTCCTAACTTGATACTTGACTGACAGATTTAAAATTCCCCAAATACTTACTTGACTCACCATAACCAACAGTGCACTCTACTCCTCGTAGGGGGTGAGAATTAGCTATGCTAAGAGGAATAACTAAGAAATTAGAAAAAGAACTTTAAAAAATTGAAATATTCAAATTTCATAAACACCCACATTCAAAACTAACCTAAAAACTTTTTACTTTGACATCACAAGTTTCAAAGACAGTTAATTGCTCTTTTACTAAAGATTTATTGACATTTATACATAATTCCTTTTATTACATATTTTTGAATGTTTCAGGAAGCTTGTTATACACTTTCGTTTTTACAGACAAGTTTTGGTATCTTTTCCTCAATAGAAAAACAAAAAAAAGCAGTCTTTAGACTAAAATTACGGCTAGGGGAAGCAAATTATTTTACACAATTGGATAGTATGACAAATCTATTCTCTAAAAATAAGCTTGATCTAATTTTTGAAAATGCTCATTTCACTTTAGTGTACTCATTATATAAAAAAGGACATGAAGAAAAAGGCAAGAAATATAGAGAAATATTTAATAAACAAGAGTAGTTAAAAAACTTTATGACATGATGCTTAATCAAATAACTAAGACTAGTTTTAAGAAAAGCTTGCTCTTACATTAAAATAAATACCTAAAAGTTATACATTTTCACTTATTTAAGGTTAAACTGATCTTATGAAGATCTACTTACTAGGCCTGAAAATACCTTAAATGTTTTAAATTTTGGTATGATTTCTAAAAATGGTTACTGTATGTTTATTCATGTAGAAATTAGTCAAATACATTTAAATGCCTTGATTAACACTTGAAATGGCAAACAGAGTTAGCTTTAAGAAAATATAAAGACATGATATTTAAACCAGATATCTCAAGGGTAATCTTAGCAATAGTCTAATCAGGTTGTTAATTACCTGTGTTGACTTCCTCTGCAATTTCCAAATCTTCTATTTGAACCGTATGATCTAACATCTCTCTAAAATGGTCTCTGATTTCTTCAGCTGATTCATCACCAAATTTATAATCGCATAACTTTACAGTGGATCCAGGAATGGGGACAAAAACTCGATGAGGGAGAATGTAGAACTCTTTTTCAGAATCTAAAAGGAGAAGGAACATTATCAATATTTAGACAGATCTGTCACTGGCATTTGTCAAGATGTACTTGGGAAGGATATGAAAATACTAATAAAGCTTAAAATGACAATTTTCATTTCCTAATTGATGTGGCACAAAAACACTCTTGGAACACTGAAGAAGAAAGCTGTCATCTTCTTGTTTGTTTTAAACTTAAAACACTGTGAATTTTATAATAAGCTGACTTTTCCCTTTATCATGCATGTTTGGAGTCAAACTGGAGTCTATCTACATCAAGGATACAGGACAGACAGCATATGTTTTTGTATTAATGTCACTACTGACTACATCTTACTTGATGGAGTCCAATATCAAGAATGTTTAGGACATGAACACATATATTTTGTGTACCAAGCTCACTACCAACCCCCAACTTGCTTGCTTTCTCTTCTTCCATGTGCCTCATTATTTATTTTTCTCTGTTTTATGTATAATGCCTCTTTGTATACAACCTTAAATAATTTTTAGACAAACATGACTCTATATAAATAATAACTACTTCACTTTGAATATTTACAAACTAAAACTTACTTTTTCACTAACAGTCAGTGATTCACATAAACACATAACTGCTGCTTAGTTCAACACTATGATTGTAATGAACTATCACAAAAATAGATTTTGTGTGAAGAAAGACCTCTGTCAAAAAGACACATGACTAAAAAGCTATCGATGTAAAGATCAAGTAGAAAAGTGGGGTTCACATTAAAGTAACCTACATTTCCTCACTAAGAAACTAGTGGTACCTTTAATTACAAACAGAAGATGAACAATGCCTTAAGTGCCATGGAAAATGCCATGATTTCACCTGTTCCCTGTAGATTCCATGCATTACTTGTTTAGAGATGAGAACTAGGGCAATAATTTTACTCTTTGACCAGACTGCCTCCTAGTTGTAGAACTGCATCACAACAATTTGTACAGCAGCACATAAACTATGTGTTGAAATAAGGACTATATTATTTTTATTTTGAGCCACCGATATTTGAAACAGATTAAGTAACTTCAAAGCTAGCTAGAAGGTACATGTATTACTGGCACACAAAAATTTTAAACCATTTCAAACTGCATCAATTCTAAGTTTGCCTGAAAAAATAATATAAATCAGATGTGAAGAAAATGATTGCAAAAATTTAAATTGCTCATTAAAAAAAGAAAAAGCACTTCTTCTAACTTTCAAATTAAAAGGTTCAATTAGCAATTTATTATCTACATAAGACCAAGTTTTTCATTTGATCTGAAGTTAAAAATTAAAGGAATAATCTTTTGGAAGAAACACATCTCAAATAGTATTCCAAAAAAAATCATTTAGGAATATTCTCCACAGGAGAGAGAAAGATAAACGCTGAATCTGGCAATCCCAAAGAAACAATCTAATATACTAAAAAATATAAAGATTATGACTGATTAGTCTAGCAAACCTAATATGTTGGCTATAAGTAATACTAAAAGAAGTTAGTTTATAGAAAAGTTGTTTGTTCCCTATAAACATAAAAATCTTTCCTTAAAAAGTTACTCTGATTGTTTCAATTACGTATATACCCAAATTTGAATTGAAAATCCACTCATATCAGAATAGTAGGAATGGGGACTAGGTTTAGGAGGTTTAGTTTCAAAAAAGCATACTCAATATTATCATTTTTTAAGTGAAAAAAATATTTTAAACACAAATTACTGAGCTGGTATAAATTAATTGTTTCCCCAAAGACTGAATAGTTATTAAACTATAACAGCCTTTGTTTTTGATGTAATGAAATCTGTTATAGTTGAGAGGTAAACAACATAGTTTATAAATAGAATCTATTTAAAAATTTATTATATGAACACATGCAAAAAAAAGTACTTATTTTATACTCATAACTTTTTTTTCTGGGATTTCATTCAAAAGCAGATCCTCAAATAGTATTTCACAACGATCAGCAACTGTGTTCAATATGTCTCTCTTCACTGCCTGAGTAGGTGGGGGATGGGACAAGCAAAAACACAACAACAAAACTTTAGAATTTCATTATTTAATTATAAAACCCCTACAAATTTTGCTTCCCAGTATAATTACATTCACTCAACAACTGACGCATACACATCAATCGATTTGTTATTTCCATTTATTTACTATACTTCTTAATACAATTACAGTTAATGACAAATTTGCCTAGGACCTCATTTAAATAGTACATTAAAACCAAATAAATGAATGAAATTTTCTATCTAAAAAAATCTTACCAGTATTCCAAGTAAGGACATGAATAACTATGACACAGATGCCAGTCATCATTTTTTTAAAATTCTGAACTATACAACAATACCCATCAATACTTTTTCTATTTACAAAATTCAATTTCCCTCAGAATAAATGATTTCAAATGTAGTAATATTTCACAACTGTAGTGTACTACTAAGACTGCATAATCATAACTTTAAAAGAAGCCAACAAACAAAAATATATATATATATAAATTATATATATATTCTACATGTAAAAATCCTAGAACCAGTTAAATGGTATATTTGGACTGTCCAACAGAATGGCCCTCCATCAATTAAGATCATCATAATAATTATAAAATCTGAGGTTAAAAGAAATAAAATTTGAGGATTTTTGAAGAGTTATGTTAACTTGCATCCATTTTTCATATACCAGTTATTCCTTTTTGTACCTGCATAGCGTCTTTAACCTTGGGTTTGTTGCTGTGAATATAAGCTCTGCATTTCACAGAACCCTTAAGGTTTACGGAACCACTGCAGATCTGAACTGTGGCTGTAGATCTGTGTTCTAAATTCAGAAGCTGAAAGACAAATATGTTTAAGTCCTAAAAGTCAACAATATTTAACTACAGGAAACTACATACATTAGCCATCTTATGAAGAAAGCAGGAATTTTTGACTGTTTGAAAATATTCTCTATAAATTATTAATAGGTCTTCATATTTTTAAGTTACATATAATTTCCTAAGCATTCTGAATTTGGGTTGAAATTAAAGACATCCACATCTCAATGTATTCTTTCACTAACATAAACATCTAAAATACCAATATTTATTCAAAATATTCACCAAATATATACTATTGCAGATTACTTAGATAAAAGATAAAAAATGTTTTATAAAGACATGATATTAGGAGAAATAAAGCATGTAATATAAGAAATGCACAAAAGAATACGAAGTAGGATCTGATAAATATAAAAAAATTATAAACAGTACAGACTCACATTTACTTAAACTTTCAACTCATAACTTCCATAGGCCAAAAGTAATGCTATGCTTTATTTAGGCAAAACCAAAACATCCACTATGACTATCAGCTAAAAATGATATTAATAGTTTACAACAGATGAAATGGTTACCATTTTCATCTCATAGTTCTATCTTCTTTAGTCTAGGAGTATTAGTTCCTGCTTGTTTTTCAGATTTCATAAACTCTTTTTTCTTTTTTTTTTGTACTGGTGATTGAATTCAGGGGCACTTTACCAGTGAGCTAGCTGCATATGCATGCCCAGTCCTTTTAGTTTTTATTTTGACGTAGGGTCTCGCTATGTTGCCCAGGGCCTTGCTAAGTTGCTGAGGATGCCCTGGAACTTGTGATCCTCCTACCTCAGTCTCTCAAGTGGCTGGGATTACAGGCATGTGCCACCAGGCCTGGCAGTTCACAAACATTTTTTAAGTTCATCATCTTAATAAGTGTTTAAACAAAGAGAGCAAAGAAATACTGAAAAATACTTCTAAAGGTTTATCTTCAAAATGGGGATAAAAATTGTGATAAAAACTGAGTGTGATGGCGCATGCATATAATCCCAGTAGTTCAGGACGCTGAGGCAGAAGGACTGCAAGTTCAAAGCCAGCCTCAGCATCAAGGCCCTCAGTAACTTAGCAAGACTGTTTGAAAATAATAAAAAATAAAAACCAGGGTGGGGTTGTAGGTCAGTGGTTGAACATCCCTGGGTTCAATCCCTGGTAGAAAGAGAGAGGGAGAGAGGGAGAGGAAAGAGAGAGAGAGAGAGAGAGAGAGAGAGAAAGAAAATTGTGATTGTGATAAAAAAAATTGGATGAGATAAGAACATAATCTGTGTTCTAAGTAATTTGGAATAAAACATTTAATAGTTGGGTCCATTCTGAGTAAACAAAATCCAAATCATACAACTTGTTAAAAATGCTATGGGTCTATAAGCCCTGAATACATAGCTACTGATAGAGTTTTGACTACAATTCAAAGTCTAGTTTTAAAAAAATTCAAACTTAATCACGGTCAAGGTTTTGTTAGTAAAAATCTTCTCACAGACCAAACAGTTCTAAAGGTCCCAAGTCCATTCAAAAAACACTTCTCAAAGAACAAAGCAGCAAGGTGACAATGCTGATACTCTTTGGAATAAGCTTCCTATGCATATTTTATCAATACATCAATAGAGTGATAGTGGAGAAGAGTAATGGGCTTCCCTCATCCACACCACAAATCATTATTATAGATGAAACTACTCTTTTTGAAAAATAATGCCCTATTTTTCATATTTAATATATAATTTGAAATATATCTTGTCACATATTAAACATTTATAATACATATGTGTATTAGTTAGGGCACTGTTTTCCAAAATAGACTACGCTATGCAAACACATCAAGGAGAAGAGTTCTAAAGGATACAAGAACTGACTCATTTCTTTTGGTGAAGATGTAGCTGGGTTCTACAAATGTAAACTCCACTTGGTTACCTGAACTTGGGAACAAACTGGTTTACAAAAAGCCTTTGGGAATCTATCTTGTTCATAAGTGAAGTGATACTGATATAGAATTTTGGAAAAAAGAACAATACTTCTAGCTATGGTAACCATATGAAACCCAACAGATATAGAGGCATTTTAGGCTAGATTTTAAGGTACAGATAAGATTTTGACTGGGCAAATAGGGAAAATATGGCTGCCAAGACACATGATTCAGGAAATGCAAAGAATATTAAAGGCAGAGCAAACAAACAGCTATAATAGTTAGAAAATAAGGATGAAAGGTAAGCTGAGACTATGAAGAGTCCTGAATGTGTCTTTTTTATTGGTCAATACAGAGCAATTAAGGAATCTGAGTAAGGAGAATAGTAAAATCAGTGTCTGATCCTTCTACAAATACTTTCTGAAAAACAGGAAATCAGAAGGGATAATACGAGGTTACATGTAGGGCAAAGTAGCAATATGGGAGGTATTACACAAACAACAATATAAAGGTTTTCAGAGAGGTGATCACTTTGGGCAAGAATATATATATATATGGAAAAGAAACCAGTTAAGAATTACTTGTGCTAATCTAGGTAAAGTATACTGTTGTGTAAGGCTAATGACAGGGGAAGTGTAAGGAAAATAAAAGGTAAGTCCACACTGTAAGGAAAGCATCAATGAGACCTGAGTAGAAGAAAAATGACAACAAGTACCTACTGACAATTATTATACATTGGTCACTTCAAAAATACCCAGAGAAACCAACTGAATGTTTGACAGAAATAATATTATGTTATATAATAATATACATCATTACAACAAATTATCTTCTATGACATTATCTTCTACTGTTTTCTCTGTATCCTTGTACTCTGATACAACTCTATTATTAACACGATTTACATTTCTAGGAATAATTTGTACTTTTAAGATTTTTTTCTTCAAGACATCCAACTTCAAATTTCCAAAAATATGTAATTTTTGAAATAATCATATAGAAATATGAAACTTGCTAATTAGTACTTTGTGATTTTATCAAACCCAGAGGAAGTAAAAAAATTCCATCAAATTAAGTGTATGACAACTCCTGGCACATCTATGCATACATTTTTTTTGCTTTGTATAAAGTTGCTAAAAGTTGAAACTTAACTTATAAAAACTACAACTCCAAATATTTAGATACATGTGTATATGTATGTATATACTTAAAAAACTGTTATCTACTTGATGCTAAAATTTTAATAGCCTTGAGGCAAAAGATTCAAATATGTTTTATTAAAATAACATTTCCTGGGGGAAAAATAAAGCTCTTTGTACATGAAATATAGCACTTCTCTATTTAAGGTATCAAATAAAATACTTTTTTGTTAAACTAAAAAAAAAAAAAAAAAAAATTTCCTGGGAATAACCTTTCCAACTGGATATTTTATACAGTTTCTTGCATCTCTAAAATTCTTTTATTCTCTAATTACAAAAATAAATAAATTCATTGTGATAATGTTAAAAAATAATATTTTTTTTAAAGAGAGAGAGAGAGAGAGAGAGAGAGAGAATTTTTATTTTATTTTTTTAGTTTTCGGCGGACACAACATCTTTGTTTGTATGTGGTGCTGAGGATCGAACCCGGGCCACATGCATGCCAGGCGAGCGCTCTACCGCTTGAGCCACATCCCCAGCCCCCCAAAATAATATATTTTAAATAAGTGGGATAAGTATTTTAAAATACTTACCAATTGTGTTAGCACTCTCACATCAAAAGAATGACTAGTTGCTTGAGTATTTCCTCTGAAAGATTTTTTCTAAAAAAAAAAAAAAATCAAAAAACAAAAAAGTTAAAAAGCCATACTACTGAGATTGTAAATGGAACATAAGATAATTAGGAACTATTCTACATGTACCAACCAACTAAAAGGAAACACAAATCTTACTACTTACTTTAATTTTGTTTTTTTATAAAGATAAGCTACTTCATGTATTCTGTATCAATTAATATGTACTCTTAAAACTGTTTCCTGCCGAGCACAATGGCGCACATCTGTAATCCCAGCAGCTTGGGAGGCTGAAGCAGAAGGATCGCAAGTTCAAAGCCAGCCTCAGCAAAAAGCAAGGAGTTAAGCAACTCATTGAGATCCTGTCTCTAAATAAAATACAAAAAGGGGCTGGGGATATAGCTCAGTGTTTGAGTGCCCCTGGGTTCAATTCTCAGTACCAAAAAAAATTTCCTACTTTGATTCCTCTAAAGCAAGGATTGGCAAACACAATTGCCTGTGGGCCAAATCCACACTGCCATCTATCTCTGTAAATATTTTTTTTTCTGAAACACACAATTATTATTCATTTATTATTATCATCTGTGGCTACCTCCATACTACAATAGCAGAGGTAAATAGTTGTAACCAGATAACATGACTTGCAAGGTCTAAAATATTTACACAAAATCTGTCCATTCTTTCGCTATAGAGAGAAAGATCACTGATATTCCTCTTCCTTCAGGTCAACCCTATTTTAGAACCCTCTACAGATCCTCCCATAAAATGGCCATGCCTAGTTTTTAAACTGCTATCATGAGATTAAATTGAAATTTACATACACTTCCGACTGCAGGGTTCAGGATCACAATTACATCAGAAATAATCTCTCTCATCATTTTCTAGAAAAATAGATCTTATAAATGAATAGATAAACCTGTTTTCATGAAGTCGAAGCCTAAAGATAGAACATCTTTTATTTTTTCTTATTTCATAAATAAAAATGATTTTTTCTCAACTCACCTGTCCTTCTAATAGATCACAGTCTTCATCTTTAACTTGTCCATTAATCAAATAAACACCATTTTCTATTTGCTTGGCCCAGCGTGTAAGTCCATTCTTAAAAGAAATGCAACATGGAAATCTTACAGATATAACCTCATCTCTACCTCCCTAGACTCCACTTTTTTCCACTGAACACAGTAAAAAAGAAAAGCACTAATTATTAGTAATGCAGATCTCATAAAAAATAAAAATGAAGACATCTTAACTTTTTGGCACTATCATTTACTTCAAACTCTGGATTCTTTTTAACTGCATGACCACAGTAAAATTAAATTCAATAATGTTCATTATCTTTTTTCAAAATATGAGAAAAAGAACCTTAAACAAATAATCTAAAGCAGTGTTAAAAAGGAAAATATAAGCAAGCTCCATTTGTCTTAATATGGAAAAAGAAAGAAAAATGAGACATAAACAAAAAAAGAATCAAACAGAAATACAAAAGAGGGCCAGAAAATAGAAAAGAAAATTGACAAAAAGAGATAGGTGTAAGACCAAAGAGTATAGCCACTTACATAATTATTTTTTATATATGTTAATTAATAAATATTTATTACATACCTGTTTACTAAATATACTAGTATTATGACTTTGTTCAACTTCTAAAAAAAATCTAATCTGGAATTAGTTACTTATATATCACAATCATTATTATAAACAGAATGTTAGTTTTGAGGATTATAAAATGAATTTCACAAACAGAATAACAGCAGATTTTCCACTTAGCAAACACTAAAAATTGATTTTACCCTGATACCTTCGTATTTTTTTCCAGAGTATAGCTGACAGAAGTAGAAGAAAGTGGAATGTGAATATCAATGTGAATGGTACAATCTAGAGAAAGCCATGAAGTAGACAGTCCACTTTGATACTTCCAATCGGCTGGTCTTGCTGAACTCTTTAGCAGAGAAGAAGGTGAAAAAACAAAGTATAATGTGGTTTAGATAAAAAACATGTATCAACATAGCACCATAAAGTGTACAATCTAATAACTCAAACAAACCAATACACAATATATATGGCCAAATTCCTTAATCAAAGGACTATATATTACTACAAAATAAAAAGTAATGCATGTATTAAGTTCAGTAGAGCCTAGAAAACCTTGGCAACCCCCTACCTCCCCTGGTAGAAGGAGGATCATAAAGTTCCATGTTTAAAATTCTGAGAAATCCTCTGGACCTCTGTCTTTCACCTGTAGCTTCAGTAATGTCAGTTCTGAAGATTCTGATATGTAACTGAGCAACTACTAAGTGCCAGCCAGTCTCCTTTCTGTCCCATCCTTACTAACCATATTGCAAAATTACTTTTTCTCATTACCTTTTAGACTCCTTGACAAAATGATCGTCTAGATTTAACAGAATAGACACTGTAGCTACTAACAGTCCTCATCACTTTTACTATCAGCTTCTTAAATTTTCATAATTATCCAGGCATACTGGCACATGCCTGTAATCGGAGCAACCCAGGAGGCTGAGGCAGGTGGGTCACAAGTTCAAGGCCTGCCTCAGTAACTTAATGAGAACCCTGTCTCAAATAAAAAAGGCTTGGGGTGTAGTTCAATGGTAGAACACTCCTGGGTTCAATCCCAGTACTGGGGAAAAAAAATTAACAATTAAAAAAACTACAAATTTTTCTTGCCTATAATAAAATTAATCATAGTTCAGAATAAAAACCACAGGTGACTGTAGATATCAGTAGAAAGTAAAGGCACTGAAATTATTTAAACTAAATATAAAGATAAATTTAAACTTAAAAATAGTTTGCAAAAACAAAAATCTATAAAGAGTAATTTTGTCTTACCTTTGGGTCATGGACATCGTAAGTTCGACAAGATATTCTTTACTAATTAAGGATAGAAATGACCAAAACAAGAAGTAATTCTTGGTAATCAACAGAATATAAATCCTCAAAAAATAAAAAAAATAATACATCTAAGAGTTCTTACAAATCACAATGCTTTACACAGTTACATATACATAAATGTATAGGTATGTACATGTATATATAAAAATTTATTTATGTATGCACACGAATATAAATTGCTTGGTCTAAAGTACTTGTGGTAATTGAAAACTATTTCCTCATGTTTACAAACACTGCTAATCACAATAAATAGAATATAAGCACTTGTGACATTTTCCACAAATATATTCTCCAAAACAAAAAAGGAGTATTGTTTTGGATGGGATCAAGCCTAAGAATATCTGGTCAAAGGCCTATACATGGAACTTTCCAGTTAAATTAGTTAAAAGCTTACCTTCTGCAGGAATGGTCGCTTTTAAAATTTTGTTTTCTGAAAGTCTGAATTTACTGGGCCCTTGGATTGCATTACTTTTTAGCGAGGCTGCTTCTTGGGGGTCCCTCTGTTCTAGAAAGTTACAGTGACTTGAAGTACCTATAGCTGGTTTTTAATGTCTTTTAATCTTGGCTCAAAGCATAAGGATTTCTTGGATGTCCTACACTGTTCAGTACAGTATACCTGTGCTTTAAATTGCACATGTTATCTTTAGGAAATGAAGGTGAAAATTTTAACAATTTTTTTTTTTTAATTATTTTGCCTAAGCTGTCAATTGGCATTTCTCTCTCTCTAGAATCTATAGTGTTTTATGGAACCAGCCTGGGTATCCACAATGAATGAATGGATAAAGAAAACGTGGTATATTTACACAATGAAGTTTTATTCAGTCATAAAGAAGAATGAAATTATGTTGTTGCAGGAAAATGGATGGAACTTGAGAACATTATATTAAGCAAAATATAGCAAATTTTAAGAAAGTTAAGGGTTATATATTTTCTCTTATATGTGAAAGCTAGAAAGAAAAAAAAAAAGGAAGGTAGTAGTGGAGATCACATAAAAATCAAAGGGAGATGAGTAGAGTAGAGGAAAGGGACCTGGGGGAAAGGGAAGGGAATTCCAGGAAAAGGGAAAGGAATACCAGGAAATAATATTGGTCAAATTATATGGTTACATTGTGTTCCTATATGAACACATAACAACAAATCCTAGCATTATATACAACTATAATGCACCAATAAAAAAAAATATGGATTAAAAAAAAGAATCAGACATGAAGAAAGATTGCATTCAAAAAAAAAAAAAGAATCAGGGCTGGGATTGTGGCTCAGCGATAGAGTGCATGCCTAATGTATGCAGGGCAATGGGTTCAATCCTCAACACCACACAAAAATAAAATAAAGGTATTGTGTCCAACTACAACTAAACCAAAACATTTAAAAAAAAAAAAAAAGAGAATATACTGTGCTTGATTGTACAAGGGTATATAGCTGATAAAAAATTCAGAATCCTGAGTTCTTGCTACCTCTAAATCTTTATATAACCCTGAGACAGGATTAACAGCAGTTATTACTTTTGCTATTATTATTATTTTCAACTCTAATTATGTGACAGTTATCAAAAACCTTACAAATTATGTCTATTTTTAAAAATGATATAAACAAATGTTTTAAAAAACTTGCAGAAATATTATTTTGGTACCATATACTATTTAGCTATAAACTCTTAAATAAAAGATACTTTTTTGTAGATGAGCAAATGTGAAGTATTACTCGTTCTGAGATCTCCTCCTCTGTGAAATTCCACAGTCTTTTTCTATTCATAGACTTTTCCATGGCAAATATTAGCTGAAAGACAGGAAAATACACATTAATTGAATGTAAAATGAAAATTCAGTGTAGAAATAGATAATTACATGTCCTTAAGCTCCTATGTATCTTTAAAATTCCATGAGTCTAATCAATTTTTCTTTCCTTTAAAATATAGAACTAATACATTTACCATTTTGGATTTCATTTTTAAGGATTTACATAAAAATTGGGTACATAGATATGATTCACTATCATTAATTATTAGTTGGACATGAAATTTTGACTTCAGGCAACCAGCATTTACATAAAATGTAGAATAGAGATTTTATTTTAATTGGATGAGAAACAACACGTGATTTTAACCACAAAAATGCAGGATGCTACCAATTGAGCATTTCTTATTTCAATGTCACAAAAGACTTATGACAATTATAAGAACACAAAAAATAGAATAACAGATTAAAGTAAAAAAAAATCAGAATAGAGATATAAATCTGTACCAGAAATAATTATAAAATGCATGTGTGAAATGGGGCTGCCATAAATGTAGCTCTAAGCTTTCTAACAAAAATATGCAGAGCAGAGGGCTGACGTTGTGGCTCAGTGGCTTGCCTCATACATGTTAAGACACAGGGTTTGATCCTCAGCACCACGTAAAAATTAAGAAACAAAATAAAGATATTGTGTCCATGTATAACTAAAAAAATATTTTTAAAAAATATGCAGAGAGAAATCTGATTTGTTATCTAATTAAGATGGTCCAGAGCTGGGGTGGTGGCTCAGTGGCAGAGCACTTGCCTCACACATATGAGGCACTGGGTTTGATCCTCAGTGCCACATAAAATAAACAAAATAAATACATTGTGTCCATGTACAACTAAAAAAATTTTTTAAAAAAATATGGTCTATAAGTTGAAAACAAACAACTGATCAAAAGAGGTACAACTTTCTTGATGAGGATGTCAAAGAAATTTTTTCCAGAAATATAATATTTTAGAATATGACAACCAACATTTTTAACAATAAACCCCATAGAAGAGATTAACAAATTTTATATAGAGTTATTCCTTACAATGTCTCTCAATATAGGCCAATGGAAATAAAGTTATTGAAATTTGACCATTTCTAAGATACAGAATTTCTAAAAATCACATTTTTTTTCAGTTGTAAATGGACACAATACCTTTATTTTGTTTATTTATTTTTATGTGGTGCTGAGAATCGAGCCCAGAGCCTCACACATTTGAGGCAAGTGCTCTACCACTGAGCCACAACCCCAGCCCCTAAAATATTACATTCTTAAGAACAAAAAATACTAAAGCAAAAGGAAGGAGGACCTGACTGGATCTCTCTACACTAAGTACACATACACACAGTATCAACCGCAAAAGCATACACAAGCAATGCTCCTAACATTAGATACACATATAATAAATATTTAAACTATATTTCAAATGGCTAAAGATGATGAACTATAATGAAAGAGGTAAATGAAAGAGGTAGAAGTGTAAACGATTTACCTACAAAGGGAATATTTCTTCTTACATTCTTAGGCACAAATATCAAAGACATGAGAGTGGGACATGTGATAGGAGAGGTTACAAAACTGGAATGACCTATAGCCCCTTGGGTTCTAAGCTGCACATTTTGGTGGGGGTGGTTTACTAGGGATTAAACCCAGGGGCATGGTCACTGAGCTAATCCCTAGCCCTTTTTTGTATTTTATTTAGAGACAAGGTCTCATGGAGTTGCTTAGCACCTTGCTGTTGCTGAGGCTGACTTTGAACTCACAATCCTCCTGTTTCAGCCTCCCAAGCTGCCAGGATTACAGGTGTATGCCACTGTGCCTGGCTAAACTGCACATTTTTAAAATAAAAAAAATTTTCCTTGGGGAATCTGTGGGATTTTGTACTACTGAAGAGTATAAGGTTCTATTTTTTCTCTTGAGATGTAAAATACCCTTGTGAAAGTTTACTTGGGTTAAGACTTAAGAGTACTAACAGAGATGAAAGCTGCCTGCATAGAGTTTGATTTAGGTTTGTGTTTAAGATAAAACAGTTTGGGACAAAGTTATCCAATTCTCTGATAGAAGAATAAAACAAAACACACAGGGAATCCAGGATATATACTCTGCCCAGGAATAAAGAATAAGTATTTGCTATTCACATTTTATTCTCAAGATCTTAAGAGAACAAACAGAATAATTTCACATTATAGCAATCAGTTGGTACCAAGTAGAGGTCTAGTAGAAAACTACTATTGCACAAGAAAATTTCCTGAACCACTATAACTTGTTTCATAATACTGACATACTAAATTTCTTCAACCATTATGCCTTGTTTCATAATACTGAGATACTATCTGTAAAATAAAAAACTTTTAAATATGTAGCTTTGGTTGAAAATAATATTTACATTCCTTACATTCAAGATATCCAAGTAATTAAGTAGAAAAGGTATTTCAACATAATCCTAGCCTAGTGAATTATGCAGCACTAATCTAAATATGCCTAGGGTAACTGCAAACACATAAAATTAATTAAATAATATATAACTGATTTAATACGAATTTCTGATATATCACTTACTCTGCGCAGGGCATTTTGAAAATCATTGGCCAGTTCCAAAGTTGTAATGATAAATACTCCAAGAACTAAAAGTCCCCCTGGTAGCATTCTGGATACCTAAAAACAAAAATACAGTATTAGCTCCCATAAGCATATTCAAACTTTTCTATTTAAGAAACCAAATATTAAATCAGCAACTACTTACCAAGTACCAACTACATTCATAACATTAAAGTAGGGACAGTTGAAAAATTAGTTAAAATAATGAGAAACATGGCAACAAAGATGAATGGGATATCATTATGTACACAATATTCCCAGAGGGTCCTTAGCTTTTCACATTAAAGTTGCTTTACAAATAAAAACCACTTAATAATAACATCCTTCAGCTACATTAATATATAAGCCCTTTTCTCAAAAGACTAAAAGACTAAGATAACTTCTGAAATCTTTTCAATGGTTTCCCACAATCAGCAAAATAAAATATATATTTTTTTATTAGACTTATACTTCAGTCTTCCTAGAATCTGGTCAATCTGATGTTCTAAGCCTCATTTGACACTACTTTCCCTGAAATACTAAAAGTATCCACAAAAACTACTCACAGTTTTACATACCTATCCCCAGGCTTATTCTGTGCCCTTATTCAGGCTGTTCCCTCATTCCGAATTGACTTTCTCTTATATTTCCACATGTCTGAATTCTATTGAATACTTCAAAATCAGCTTGAGGAAGCTGACTTCCCTGATCATTTGAACTCCCGTAGGACTTTGGTATAGTTTTCCCATGGCCCTTTATCACAGAACCCAGTATTATATGTACAAACTACCAGTTTGTCCTCCATAATATCTCTATTTCTCTTCACATGATTGTAGCTAGTTCTCAATGCCTCACAGATTTTTCTCTGCCATCTATATTCAGAGACCAGAATGTTCCAGTTAGCTTTTGTGGCTTAATGTATAATCAAATGATCACAAAGTCCTCAGAAAATTAGATACCATGATCTAATCTCTATTGCATTTGCATTATGTCTGTTAATGGTTCCCTCTGATTTCACAAACTCTACTCCCTTAAATTTGATACAATTTTCATATTTAGCATGGAGGATCTACACATCTTTTCTAAAGACCACCAACACACAAAATTTGCTATTTTTTTCCAAAGGTAAAAAGGTTAATCAAATTTACTATATAAATTCATATTCTTTCTCTGTATGTGTTTAGATAGACAGATATATATATATGTATGCCATATACAATTTTATAGAAAATCAAAAGCAAAATTAGAATTTAAAAAGTTATTTATAGACCATTAGGAATGTAATGCAAAAATATTTGATACTTTCTTTATAAAGTATTTCTTGGATTTGTTTTTTAGAACTACATACTATTCCATCACAAATACAGGAACATGTATGTATATGCACAGGTACACAAGTTTGTGTGTTTAAAGGATTTAAATTTGAGTAGGAAATACTATTATTCTACTTTTATCTTAATCTAAACATTCTTGTTGGTTATTTGTTTTTTTACAGTGCTGGAGATCAAACCCCAGGTTCTTATACATGCTAAGTAAGTGCTCTACTCCCAAACCCCCATTAAATGATGTAATTCTTGCAATACTCTTAAGTGAATTAGTTTACTCATTAGCCCCTCTCACCCCTAAATCCATGTCTTCCTCTCATACTGCCAACACTGTTCTAGATGCTCACCCTAAAATCCTTACTCATCTTAAGCTTCTATCAGCCCACATCTCTTCATTCCCAATCTACTTATCACTAAATTTTGGTTCTAGCTCTTTCTCTGAGATCATATGGCAAAAAAGTTCTATCCACTGTGTCTATTCATTCAGGCATTAATTTATCGACTATTTTAGAGCTCCCATTATAAACTATAGAAATACTATGCTAGGCACTCAGAATACAGCAATTACTAAACAGGTGCCCTCTCCCCAAGTTAAGGTTCATGTCATCACTGTTTGGAATACATTGCAAGTATATATTTTCTATTCTGTTTCCACTCTCTATTCTGCATGCAAATTGTTCTAAGATATAAGTTACCTTCTAAATTACTGGCAAATCAGTCACACTATCCCCTTCTCACAATCAGGAGCTTTGACAGTCTACCACATCTACCAATACGCTCCTTAGGATACCACTCAAAAGCCATCAAAACTGGCCCTTCCAGTTTTATGTATAATTACATTCTTTTACATATTCCATGTTTCAACTATACTTAATTGCTTGCTGTTATCCTAACATACTCTTTGCTTCTATGCCTTTGTGTCATTTATCCATATTGTCCTAGCTATATTCAATGTGCTCTGACTTCTGTTGGCAAAGTCTTACTCGGCCTTCAAATCCAGAACCATCAGCAGCTTATTAAGAACAAGTATTCTGAAATTCTAGTCTAATAATCTGAGAACAAAGTACTTTTTCTTGTTAGTCAAATAAATACAAACTTAACTATATAAAGAGATAAATACCATTACCTGATTGGCATGTTCTGTGGCCCATTCTTCATCCAAATTATCCAACTTAGCTTTGGGATGTTTGAGGTTCTCATTTTGCTCTTCTTTGGGTGGTGTTCTAGTGGCAAGAATCACATAATCCTTTTGTGAAGAACACTTCAAAAACAAATTATAAAAGCTTATTAGGGCTTTATAAGAGCTTATCTGATTGAAAAATCAGATACTTTAGCTCTTAGGACATGCAAAAACTGAATAATACTTGTACTAAGTTAAGTACCCTTTTTATAATGGAATATTTATACCAAATTAATATCCATATTATAATGGAATCTGCATTTATGAAAACTAATGTTTATTGCCAAATGATAAACTTAGGGAACACTGAACAGCTCAGTTTAATTACAGTGAAAATTTCCTAAAAAGACTGAATATAAAGCTGATAATGCAAGTTAGCTTAACAGGGGTCCACTTTATGCTTTGAGTACAAATTTTGCTGCTTGCCTACAAGTAGATTATTTAAAACTGACATGGTTTGGTCTTGTTTTCTCTTTTCTTCTTCTTCACACTCTTCTGCTCCCTAACAGCAGGATAGACAAGACTAACATTTTCCTGTCCCAGGCTAAGCTATTGAGTCCCTCACTGCCCACAAGCATAAAGAAACTCCAAACCTGGGAACTGGAACAAGAACTCTCTCAAGGACACCTGATGGACACCAATCAGTTTTATCTACTGATAATGTTTGGAACCCACTCCTTGTATTCCTCTTTTAAAAGCCCTGTGTTTTCCCTGGGAGGGAGAATCATGGCTTCTGGAACAAGAGTCCCGTGTTTCTCTTTTGCTAGCAAATAAAACTTTCTTTTTCTCAAAACCTTATCCTCATTATTGGCTCAGCAGTGGGACAAGAACTAAGCTTTTGGTATCATTAGGATGCTGTCATCTTCATATTTGACCTGAAACTCCTTAAGGATAATTAGCATCATCTCAGGATAGAAAATAAAGGAAGATTAATTATTTCTACAGAAGTTACTTTCAGAAGGCCAGGTTCAAATGTACACAGGAAAATAATACAGGTCCTGACTGAAAGAAGCTCCTCTTTTTTCATCAACTGTTTAACTAAGTAAACAAACAAACAAAAAAACTGGCACTAGGAGTTGGGAACAAGGAAGCTTGAGGAGAAGAAAAGTGATGAGCTCTGAAGTAAAAAGAAAAGCTGTAGAAAATCAGAAGGAATAAAAAGACAGCATGAAAACATACTGGAAGAAGGGCATTAAATTGTGAGATACTTATTTGCAAGATGGCAGTTGTACTAAGCTCTCAAAGTAGCATACATCCAGCAAGGCAAGTATGGAAGACTATCTTTATTCCTGACCTTTAATCTCTACTGATCATATCTTTAACACTCTTCCCTTTTTTTAAAACATATTTTTTCTTAGTTGTTGATAGATCTTTATTGTATTTATTTATATATGGTGCTGAGAATCAAACCCAGTGCCTCACACATGCCAGGCAAGTGCGCTACCCCTGAGTCCCCGTCCCAGCCCCACTCCTCTCTTTTTCAAAATAAAGGGAAGGGAAATATTTGAATAAAAATGTCTAACAAAAAGGCCCCTATATTAGATGCTAAGTTACCTGAGTCAAAAAGAAGTTCAGGTCACTGCCAAGACAGGCAGTCTGGCTGTCTAAAGATGGGTCTTGGAGAGTGGTACTACATGGATGAACAGTGCAGATATGCCCTGTCTTACAAGAAATCTAATTTTTGAAAACTCTGAAAATAAATCTTTCTCTGAGGCTAAAGTGACATTACTAAGCTGATGAATAACGACGTAGAAAACCTGAATCTCATGAAGGACCTAAGCCCTCTGGGCAGTGTATTCCTTTTCCTTTTTCTTCTTTTAATACAGGGATATTTATTATTTTTTTTTAATGGGAATTAAACCTAGAGCCTTGCGCATGCTGGACAAGTACTCTACCACAAGTTGTACCTCTAGCCCAGCACATTCTTTATCAGTAATTAACTTGAGCCATCAAATTTTAAGAGAAAAGAGCTTAGGGATGTTAACAGAATCATAATAAGGAGTAAAATTATGCAATTTGAAGGTTCCAAGCCATCAGACCAAAATAGGCAGAAAGAAAACTGGCACAATAAGACTTTTATTTAGTACTAGGTCTTAAAAATCAAGTGGCTGCTTATATTATGTAAAATAACTGTCCAAATCTCTGTTCTATTCAATGTTGATTTTTAAAACTTAACTATGAGGGAGATGGTCTATTTTTCAAATTTCCCCCAAACCCTTTCTTTCTCTAAGTTTTTTTGTTTGTTTGTTTGTTTTTTTAAATTCACTATGATGGAAATAAGAGCATATAACAAAAACATTACCACTGTTGGTCTAAGTCTGAGATAAGACAAACCAGAATGTCAAAAGCATTTTTTTTAAAGACCTGGACAATCAGGAATTAATAAGATTACAAGGGGGTACAAAATGCTTTGGAAAGATAACCAAATGTAAATGCACTGGTTAGTAAAAATTAAATTTTAGAGTTTCTACATTATATTACTTTCAGTGTCATCAAAAGGGAATGGGTCTGACTTAAAAAAAAAAAAAAAAAACCTGGGTTAGGTCTGTACTACTAAATTTATGTTTCCTCAAAGATCCACCTAAGATTTACTTATACATCAGACCCTTCCATCCACCAATCTTAAGTTTACTTTTATATAGCATAATTAGCTTCAATGAACAAATAATTTGTTATATCAATAAATGTACATACCTGTCCTATCAAAAGACCAGAGATAAAAGCTTTTCCTTGGAGACTGATGTTTGAAAGATATTGGCCAACACTCTCTTCTACGATGTAGGTTCTTCCCATTTTTGAGAACTAATTCAACTCCTATATTACAAGGAAAAATTGTATATAGCATCATTAGGTAAAAATACAAATTTTTATGTTTTTAGCGGGGGGGGGGGGTAGTATACTGAGAAAAAAATGGTACTACCCAGATACTACCTCATGTCTTGCAGTGATTGCTTATTAAACAAAGTACTCTTTTCTTGCAAAGTTCAAATGTAGTGCCACAATTCTTTTCAACACAGTGTTACAGGAAATGACTACCAATAAACCAGAGTTGAGATGAGAGATCACACCTATTTTTCATACTTGGGGTAAGTAAGAGACAGGACACTAAACTATCACTTGAAACACCTGATTTTTTACTTTAGATCTATTTCTTAATTGTTTTAGTTTTGATATGACTTGAAATAATCAACCTTCCTGGACTCTGGTTTCCTAACCTAAAAAGTAAAGAATTTGGATCTTGAAACATTTGAAAACCTATCTAATTCTAGGATTCTGTTACTCTAAGTACAGACTATTTGCATTTCTCAAGTGGTAGTACTTCACATACCAACAACCTTAATTGAAATGTTAATATGTATAATAATTGGAAGATAAAGTCAACATTATTCTAGGTAAAACTGATTTAATTTACCTTAGTTACCACGAAATGTCATTAGATACTTTTGTTTGTAATGTCTTCACAACAAATTCAAAAGTAGGGACAAGAGAAAAATAATCAATGTCATGTAAAACTAAATCACCCATTCACAGAAGGCCCTCCTGACTGCAGGAATCACAGGGAAGATGACACCAGGAATGCCTGATTTTCAATGAAGAAATCACTAATTTTTTCAAAAAGAGTAATCAGACATGAAGCAAACTACAAACTGTGCTTAGACATTACAAAATTAAGATCTGGAAACAATTCTATTAATGGTGGCTCGGTGACAAATGGTTTTTAAGAACCTAACTTTTGTTACAACTGTTTTCATTTTTAAAAATCGACTCAACATTCTAATGTCACCTTAAAACACAGTTTACATTTAAACTCTTCTTGGTTTATTTTTATCCTCTTCCAAAAGGAAAACAACAACAACAACAACGAACTGGGCTCCTTGAATTCCTGTTGAATCACCAAAAGCATCCAAGGAGGAGGACTCACGTGAGGCAAGTTCGGCAGAACTGGACTTCCGTGTACACCGGAATGACTGTCCATATGTTTCCTACACTGGGTCCCTTCTCGGTGCCCAAGCGCAAGCGCTCACACACATACCCCTAGACACGCAGATTACCAGCTTAGCTGACTCACCTGTTCTCAGGATGCTTACGCTGCCAGATAAATCTCCCGAACCGTCGGTGCACCGAGAAAAAGACTGAGGTGCACGAGCCCCAGCCTCCAGGGGCCAGAATACCCTCTGGTTCCAATTCCACAGCCAATGAATTCATCAGAAAGCGACCGACTTCTTACACCTCACTTCCCACCCTAAACCCAGGGTCTCGAGTCAGGTGGCGCAGACCGATGACGCACGTGATCCCCTCTCCCTTCGCCCCGGCTCTGCAGCTACAGCGGCCGCGGTCGCTACCCCGCCCCCTTCCGGGCGCCAGTGAGAGCGTGGCGGTAGCCCAGAGCCTGCCGTGCGGCCCTGTCGGGACCGATGCCCTCTAGTGGCTCAGTGCCTAGAAGCCGCCAAAGAGGACGACCCATGGCATCCCGTGGCTTTGACGGTAAGGCCGCCCTGCTCTTCAGGGAGGGAAATGGGTTGACGAGTACGTCTATGGCGCCACCGCGTGGACAGGGATCCTGCAGCCGAATGAGGAGAGCCGGGGGGCGGAGAGAGAGGAGGAAGCGGAACGGGTGCTTCGGGGCTGGGAGCCACGGAAGGGAATGAGAAAAACACTACGTTTCCCAGAGGCCTGCGAGGCGTGGAGCGGTTGGGACTGGGAGCCGGAAATTGAATTGCTCGGCGGGGTCGGAGGCCGCTTCTGAACTCGGACTCCCAGGGTGCACGGCTTCCTGCTGCGTCTGCACTTTGGGCGCGGGCGCCAAGGCGCGTCGGGCGCTTACCCTATAACGCAGGACTCGATTTCCCAGGGTCCCGCCGCGGGAGTCTCCGGCGGGCAGGAGCGCGCGAGCACCGGGCCGAGACTGCAGACGCTGCGTCCCCGGCTTCAGGGTCCTGTCCTTCGCCTTTCTTCTCCGGTTGTGCTCCGTCGGCTCCTGTCGCCGGCCCGATCGACATGGCGGCAGTGTTGCAGCAAGTGCTGGAGCGTACCGAGCTGAACAAGCTGCCTAAGTCCGTCCAGAACAAACTTGAAAAGTTCCTTGCTGATCAGCAGTCCGAGATCGATGGGCTGAAGGGACGGCACGAGAAATTTAAGGTGGAGAGCGGTAAGCGAGACGCTGTTCCCGCCCTTGGCTCCACTTGAGCTGTGGCCCATCTTCCGCCTTTGCACACTTGCCCTCCTCTTTACATCTGCGACGTTTTCTATTAGTATCTCTTTCAGGGCTCCTTGAGCGCCCAAGGCCTTCTCTTTCCTACTCCCGCATGTTGGTAAGAAGGATCCACTGTTGTTTTTCCAAATCGGAATCCACTCTTCCTTGTAATTAGGGTGATCTCACGTAGGCAGTCTTAGGTTTGTCCAATAAACAAAATTTTTTTGCACCAGACATTTGAACGTTTGCAACTTCTCTCTATATATATCTACAGAAACTGATCTATTTGTTGCACTGTAAATGGCAGTAATGTCTGCTCTATTTTCTAGTCACCTGAATTCCTAAGAATTCAAAACAAAACAAAGCAGAGTCTGATGACGACTTCGTGCACTTGTTAGTATACATGTCACACCATGATCCCATATCGAATTAGTGTGCCCCAAAATGAGTTTAGATGCAAAAGACAGCACTGGAAACTCAGTGAACTTCCAGTAAAAAAAATTAATGTTATTTCTCTCTAAAAGTTGGAGTTTCATAAAAAATACGTTGAGTTCTGCTTCTATTTATCTATAGTGGGCCTTCAAATAAGAAAATTATCCACAGTGTCTTGAACATCCTTGAAAAAACTTTAAGAATATAGTGATTATTGATAATAAAATACAAATTCCTGTCTTTTTTTTAATTTGCCCTTAGGGGAAGTTGATTTTTTTTTTCTTTTTTTGCTAGATTGCCCAGAAATTTCCATCTAAATAAATTTTCCATTTCAAAGAAGGGTAATTGTCGAGCAGAATTAATCTTGAAATTAGACAGTTCTCAGAATCCCACAGCTAAATATACACTGCATTCTGTCCAGTAATTTGCACAGTAAATATTGAGCATTAGCTGTATGCTGGATACTCTGCTGAAGCAGTCTGTCTCAGTCTCTTCTCTTGGGAATTTACACATTAATTTTTACAGAAGCTTAGTAATTTTATGCTTTCAGTTATTTTGAGTATTTTACAACAAACCTTTTAAAACAAAGCAGTTTTTAACCTAAACATTTTTTTTCCATGTAATAAATACTTTTAAAAATCTGCCTTATGCCAAGTAGTCTACTGATGTCTGAGTAAAATACTAACACATATGATATCTTGCCTGCCTTGAAGAAATTAATTTGTAAACCCCTTTTAGGCCTTATTTTCTTTTGTCGTGTAAGTCAGTTGGAAATGTTAATGAATCCTTTTGTGTGCTTATAGATGTTAGAGTCTCTTCTTTGGAGTGCAGTTCCAATATTGTATCTTAGATTTTAAAATCAAAGTCATTAGGAATTAGCAGTATTAATAGTGTATTTGGTTTTATTTTAATTTTATTTTTTTCTACTTGCTTTCTGTAGAACAACAGTATTTCGAGATAGAAAAGAGGTTATCCCACAGTCAGGAGAGACTTGTAAATGAAACACGTGAGTGCCAAAGCTTGAGGCTTGAGCTAGAGAAACTCAGTAAGTATTTATTTATACCTTTATAAGTATAAGCATTCTTGGAGTGTTGAGATCTCCAGATACTCTTTGTGTTGTTTGAAAACATTTGCTTACTGTATATGAAAATACTGGTTAAGTATTACTGTTTTTGTTTATGGTGACATTGATTTTTTTCACTCAGTAAAGACTGCAGGAACACGGGGCTTAATAATCATGAGACCTGAGTTTTTTTTGTTCTTGTTTTGTTTTTTGGTACTGAGTATTGAACCCAGGGGCAATTAACCACTGAGCCGCATCCGTGACCCTTTTTATTTTTTATTTTGAGAGAGAATCTCGCTAAGTTGTTGAGGCTGGCCTCAAACTTTCAATCCTCCTGCCTCAGCCTTCAGAGTCAACTGGTGTGACAGGCGTTCATCACTGCACCCACCAATACCTGAGTTCTAGTTCTGATTTTGCTGTTAAAAGTGGTTTGGCCTTATGTAAAACAAAGCAGAGTCTGATGGTTTTAAAAGTAGTAGGCCCACATGGGCTTCTACATAATCAGCTTTACATATCAAATAAGATTTTTAAAGTTATTGAAAAAGCTAAAGCAGTACATAACTGAATAATTGGGGTGATAGAATTGTTTTACATTGACAAATTAAAGCCTATTGATTCCATTATTTGACTTCTGTTATTATTTTTATAAACATTTATGAAATTCGGAGTATTTCCTCTTTCAGGCCTAGTTCTTGTGAATGATGGGTAGCCAGTTCTCTTAGTTTTCTTCTATCATTAACTTCTAGATAGTATATAAGATTTTAAATGACGTGTATGTTCTTTTTTTACTATAAAAGAAAGCAAATGTTAGGTGACATTTAATAGAGGAAGGGCATAATTAATTCCTTTTAAATATAGCTTGATTTTACTTTAATTTGGAGAAGCAGGAAGCTCATAATCAAGGGAATGTTAAAATTTCAGCTTTCTCTGAAAAATATTCATTGACTCTTTGGGTTTAACGTGTGTTTTAGCTACTCTTAGCACACTCCACTTTTAAAACATGATGTACATAGCTGATGTGTGTTTATATGTGCAGGAGCATAAATAAACTAGATCTGGTTCATCTGTACATAGCTTTTCCTTGACAAAGTAAATAAAAGATCTGTTCATGGGCTGGGGATGTGGCTCAAGCGGTAGCGCGCTTGCCTGGCATGCATGCGGCCCGGGTTCGATCCTCAGCACCACATACCAACAAAGATGTTGTGTCCGCTGAGAACTGAAAAATAAATATTTTAAAAAATTCTCTCCCCCCCCTCCCTCTCTCTCTCTCTCTCTCTTAAAAAAAAAAAAAAAGATCTGTTCATCATGAAAATGGTTGTGTTTATAGCTTTAATCTGGCTGGGTGAGAGTATAGGGGGCAAACCTGCACAAAGATCAGATATCTTCTACAATTATGTTTATATTAGGGGGAAGGGTACCAGGGATTGAACTCAGGGGCACTCAACCACTGAGCCACATCCCCAGCTCAATTTTGTATTTTATCAGGGACAGGGTCTCCCTGAGTTGCTTAGCGCCTCACTGTTGCTGAGCCTGGCTTTGAACTCACAAGCCTTCTATATCAGCCTCCCGACTTCTGGGATTACAGGCGTGCACCACCGTGCCCAGCTATGTTTGTATTTTTTTATATGAAGATAATTCTAGACCTTTAAGTCTAGAAAGCAGTAAATAAATTAAAGCAAATTAAGAAATCTACACTAATTTAGCAGGGCTTTTTCCCCTTTTACAATCTGTGACTTAAATAGAAGTAAAAATTTGAATTGGTAATGATGTGTTGTTCATTAAATTGCTAGCATATAATATAGATATGTTTTGTGGAGGAAGTTCCAAAAAATATTTTACTCATAATTATCTGCATTTTTTAAGGAGAGAAACTGTAAGGAAAGAGCATTATGAAGTAGATATTAGGGAATAATCATTAAATATCAAGCATAATTTTTTCTTCCATGTTAAAGCAAGTCTTTAGAGTAATAGGTATGGAATTGGCAAATGTCTGTTATTATGATTTACTCAATGTATTTTATTTGTTTAAATGATATTTTGTCTTAATCTATCATTTTTACTTGATTTTCTCATTTATAAATTAGTTATGATGTAGTTTTGTATAACATATGTTGGTTTCTTCAGAAGATGGTGAAAAATAAGGAAATTGATAACTGTGTATGTTTTCACTACAGACAATGGTAGAATTATTACACATTTGATTTTGGACATTGAATAGCATATTCAAAATTTTTGTCTAAAACAGTAAATTTGATATAAAGACCAATCTACAATGTGTTTACAACTCCATCTTTTTGGGTTTCAATTTCTTTATTTTAAAAAAGTATAAGCATGGCAGCTGGATGGAAACACTCATTGCAAGATTCAAGCTAACGTACATATGTTCAAAATTTTCTCTTATCTAGACAGTCAATTGAAGGCACTAACTGAGAAAAACAAAGAACTTGAAATTGCTCAGGATCGAAACATTTCCATTCAGGTAAAAGATATTTCTATGTATAAAGTTAATTGTTAATATTCTCAAGGAAGGTTTCTGTTTATTAGATGTTAGTGGTAAAATGAAATATGTCCAACTAGGAGAAGCTACCAACAAAAACAATAGTATACAGATTTTCTAGTTGGATATTTTTGTGTTATTTTGACAGATTAGGAATTTCTTTTATTCAATAAAAAGTCTATAAAGTGCATTATTCCAAATGCTTTGATCTAGTTGGTTTTTAAGTGGAACCACATTGATAATCATATCCTTAAAGCAGTGATAAGAGTAACATTGAATTTGATTGTAACTATTGCTGACCATT